TTCATATGTTTGGGGAATAAAGTATTCAATGCTGTAAACATGTTGACCCCAATCTGATGCTTTCACAGCTATTTAAATCTGACACTGGATCTACGGAGATAATACAAAGGGTAGTCAGGCTGCATTATTAATCGAAACGTTGTACGTTGGACTCGCAGTATGCGTAGTATTTCTAGGCAACAAAAAAACGGCAAAAATATGTGTCAATATCTGATGGAAGTATCGTGGAGCTGCAGGGACAGTCCAAGCATACAAAGAGTTATCTTCAGACTTAACAAAACATATTTGTTTGGTAAAGATCCTCTTAAAGAAATCACACTAATTCAATCTATAATGGTTTTAAAATGTGTTTCAAAAATAGTGATTCCTTCTTACTTCACAACTTCTATTGCATTTGCATTATCAGTAAAACAATAATTGTACGTCTACAAATTATGAGGCCCTAACTTCAATGTGGTTTAAAGAATTAAAACATTGTATATTAATGCACTTTTATACACAAGCAAATTCCTTACTTGACAGAAAACCTGATTCTAATGTAGATAGAAATGAAGAACATTATTTTACGTTATTTTCAAATGGTAAGTTACATGAGTACGAGATCGTCTCATGTCGACCTTGTGTTGTATTATGCATGTCTCTTCCTTATGTGCTACTATCCCAAATGACTGTCATCACAGTACTTTCTTTAGCATGTGGGTGGGCTCGTGCATGTTAAACAGAGAGGGAGGGGGTCTGTGGGTCGATGCTCCAGTCTGGGCCTGTTTAACATTTTGTTTAACCGTTTACCACATGGAGGAAAAGGACCATACTTTGTCTCTTTCTGCTTGCTTCTGCAAAGTTCTCACACACATACATTAAGATGAATACAACGTATTAGAAAAACACATCGGAGTCTGCAGTCCACACATATCTTCAATGATTGATCACTTTTAATTGCTAATTTCACTGGTTCTATATACTGACATGTATAAGCCAGTAAGTATCTTGTGGGTTCTTCTCTAAAGCCTGATTGTTCTGGACTTAATGTAACCGCACTTCAAATGTTCAATCTGCAAACAAGTACAAAACACTCCCGTTCGTCTACAACATATGATGTTGAGTGTAAATAATAGGGAGGGACAAAGTGGGCGTTCAAAGGCAAAAGACAATCTTAAGGTTGCTGCAGGAATGTAGGAAGTAAGCCGCTCTGTAATTACCCCAGAGCCCGCCTCTGCTGCTCTCTCATTGGCTAGCAGAGAGCAGAGGCGTTGGTCCTAGCCAATAGGAAACTCCCACTGACTCCTTTCAGGGAAGCTGAGTCTGTGCCAGGCTCTGCACAAGCTCCAAGGCTGCAGTGAAGGCAGGAGAATAGTTGTGGTAGTGACTGAAAAGAACGATCAGTTCCAGCTCCAAACCCCCCCTTCCCCAGCCCCTACAGACTCACACACACACACACACACACACACTCTCGCACACACACACTCCCAGCTGTAGGAAATATAGCAAGAAGGCCTCGCAACTCAGCGCGCCTGTGCTAGCTTCTGCAGGGCAAAAATCAGGATGGCACATTCTTTAGGACCAACCATGCATGTAATCCCTAAAAGTGTGTGTGTGTGTGTGTGTGTGTGTGTGTGTGTGTGTGTGTGTGTGTGGTGTGTGTGTGTGTGTGTGTTGTGTGTGTGTGTGTGTGTGTGTGTGTGTGTGTGTGGTGTGTGTGGTGTGTGTGTGTTGTGTGTGTGTGTGTGTGTGTGTGTGTGTGTGTGTGTGTGTGTGTGTGTGTGTGTGTGTGTGTGTGTGTGTGTGTGTGTGTGTGTGTGTGAAGAGTCTCTGATAGAATAATTAAACCATGATGAATATTTTCAAGTCCACCACAATATGGTTTTTATATGAACTCGATATCAGATGGCCGTTTCACACGGTAGTTGCATTTATATCAACTAAGAAAAAGGGAACTATACAATTTATATTACTGTTCTTTTCCTGGTATTTAAATCCAAAGCAATCTTTTATTTTCAAATAATAAAAATACCACTTCGATCTATTTGTGTGTATAAAGTAGATGTCTTGTGTTTAAGCACTTTTCCAATGTTAAGAGAAGTGGTGCGCTTGTTGTGACGCAGACATGCCATGGGAATTTCTAAGTAAAAGCTTATCTTAAGTCATTGCTGAAGTTTTGGCTTTGCATCAATGAGTTTGGATTGTTGATCATTGATACAGATCCCTTTGTGGATGGCATGCCGAGAGAGGAATGTGCACGGCCTTTTATTGTGTGATCATCGCAGAACCCACTCCGATAAAGCGATGCAGGAGATAAAGTGACTGTTTACACAAGCAGGATATCAGTATGTGAATGCTCTTTCTGCACCTTCTGCTTCCCAGCCTAATGATCCTGTGCTGACCAGTGGCGAGCCGTGACTTTTATACCTACCCCCCCCCCCCCCTCCTTCCCTCGAAAGAAAAGAAGAGTTATTACGTCACAGCGTATACTTCAGCGGAATATCAAAACAACGGCCCGGGGTGGCTCCACCACACAGAACAACACCATTTATATAAACACCTATCATGACCGGGCACCCACAGCCAAGGAACAATTACAAATGAATGAAGTCGGCACGGCGACCCACATTGAAAATGACTTAATGACCTTTGGTGATAAATCACTGAAACACAAAGTCCATCCTCCTGTCCTTCTGGATGAAGCACTTGATGGCGGGTCATGCAGCCGATCCTTTGCCAGTTTATCATTGGAACTCAATCTTGAAAATGACTCGGTTAATAATTTCGCAACGATGTCATCATGCATTTCCTAACATTCGGTCTATATGTTGAAAATGTATTATCTCTTCGATTTCCACACGGCATCTATTGCACGTCTGTCTGTCCTGGGAGAGGGATCCCTCCTCTGTTGCTCTCCCTGAGGTTTCTCCCATGTTCCCTTTAAACTGTGGGTTTTCTCTGGAAGTGTTTCCTTGTACAATGTGAGGGTCTACGGACAGAGGGTCTAAGGACAGAGGGTCTAAGGACAGAGGGTCTAAGGACAGAGGGTCTAAGGACAGAGGGTCTAAGGACAGAGGGTGTCATTTTCTCATACTGATATTCTGCACAAACTGTGTTGTATTTGCTGTAAAGTTATATGTACAGCACTTTGGCTCGACCAAAAAGCGTTTAAAAATGTGCTATATAAATAAAACTTGATTTGATCACTATCGCTGACATGAGCCATCATGAACGAACTTATGCTAATCATAAATCTATCGATCATAAATCTATCGATTAGATTTAAAATAATAAAAGTAGGATAGACATGTGGATATTATCCGGTTCGTTTTCCACAGACCTGATTTCCAGCTATCTTCCAAAACCCTCTGGAGAAATCCCACTGCTTTCTGTCGAGGGAACCCGAGCGCAGCTTACTTCCAGGTTTTAGGACGCATCACTGCACCACATGCATCGACCTCACAGCGGGCGGAACTTGTCATAAAGTCCACGAAAATAAAGCCCGCCCATTTAGAGGGAAGATATGATTGGTCAATTGTACTGTCATTTGACATTACTCTCTCGTTGAGTTACTATAGCGGGCCCTAAGGGGATTCATAGCCGTCTTCACAGTGACTCGCAGAGACGGCTCAAGGAGCTTCTTTCATTTAACCCTTCACGTTCCAACAGAAGCTGAACAGGCAGATTCGAAGGATTTATTTCTTTGGACATTTTATTTTAAATACAATTAAATCAAGTTTTTTTGGTAAAACTAATGAAAAATATAACTAAAAAATAACAAAAAAAGCCGTCAGGGCCCTCTCATATTTGTTGGCTTACCTTGCTATATTTATCATGTCATATTGCTAAAGACGTCTTCTATTTTAAGCCCCAAGGGTGGGACCTGTAGCGTGAGGTGCAGGAGCTCCTCGGGTCTGATCAAGCTGTTAAGAGTTGTGTCATGCTGCTGGGCATTGAGTTGGGGTGGGGGGAGTGTGTGGAGCCTTTGAAGACCTATAACACACCACGGGAAAGGAACAACCCCAAAAAGCATAATGGGGCCTATTTAACGCTCACGATAAATGTGTAAACCTTGGCGCGCTAAAAAGATGACAAAATATAACCCCAACTTCTTATCGTACACCTTGTTACCATAAAGTGAACCGTAAACTGACTGGAATTGCACAGTGGGAGTGTGGTGGGAATTCTTGATATGAACTAGTGAGAGAGATGTCTTTCTGGTTCTTTAATCTTTTGCAAAAGAGGCAAACAACACGAAGAGCAATGTCTCCACAGCCGAGTGCAACTACTCAAACTGAAGAGAGATTTTATACAGTTACAAAAATGCTTAGTCTTGAGATTACTGACCTATGACCCCATCAGAGTACAAGAGACCCAGGAAGAGGTCACTGATTACACTGGTTTCATGGCACCTTGTGACTGATCACCTCCCTGAGTGCTGAGATCTTCTGTCTCTTGACATGTCAGGCTTACAGAGTATTATTATGTATATGTTAAATATAACATCACAGCATCCAATTCTCTGATAATCAGAATGTCCATTACAGGAGTTAGTTAAGGGTCACCACTGGAGGAAGAGATCGTGCTCGCAGTTTGATAGCAGCGGAGATGATATGCCCTGTGGAGCTCTTATTATCACAGCGGCTCCCTGCTGTGAATCCAGCCTTATCGATGCTTTAGCTAAGTGTCGGTAAATCGTGGCAATAATTCAGGAATCAAGTTATAATAAAGTAAAAAACCCTAGATTTCGTCTACCAGTTTGTCATGCATTTCTTTATCACAACACCACGCGTGTATTTCCCCCTAAACTATGGAAAAATACTCTTTTAAACTAAATTATAATTGTGATTAACGCAATTAAATGTTTTGACCGATTGAGACCCGTAAAAAACATACAAGCTCCCAGCCTCAGTATTATCCACCTTTAGTTCTTTTTCTCTATCGCAGCGTCTTCGGAAAACCAGATCTGCGCTCACTAAGAAGTGCTTACATGTTTCTGTATTTGTATATTTCTATTCTAGGAGTTTGCTGCACTAACAAAGGAGGTGAACATATGCCGAGAGCACCTTCTGGAGAAGGAGGAGGAGATTGCTGAGCTGAAGGCGGAGAGAAACAACACACGGGTTAGTACACACACACACACACTGCATTATCCAACAAGTGTTACACATCGCCTGCGTACTCCTGACGTATCGGTTGAATTCCTCCATGTGTCTGTTTTGGGAATGGATGTTGTCGTAACACTGGTTGACAAATCCCATAAGTATATCCTATAAAACAACCCGTTGTCACGAGTTTGGGGCGTGGCAAATTGCTCAATCATCCAAATATTCCAACAACTGACATTAGATGTCTTCACATGCCGCTGTGCGTTCTCAAGAGGAGGTTTCTAAAGGTCCCACACACTGCAGGGCTCCACTGTTCATCATCTATTGCTAAAGAATTGTGTTTATTAATTTATTTCACAAATGTTTTACTTATTTTATTGTTTGCGAGTTTTGCTGAGCTGTGGGATTTTTGGATTTGATTTGACCTTAGTGACGCTTCAATCACATCAGACTCCATCAGCATACCAGAGTCAAACAGAGTGTGAGTCCCTACTGTCTCTGACTGGAAGCCTTTTCTCTTGCGTACTTGTTGCATTAGAGTTTGTCCTTTTTAATATTCAACATCACAACTGTATGTTGTAAACAATATTGAGCGGTGGACTCGAGTGAAACGAAAGACAAGGCGATGAAACTTATGTTAAAAATGGGAAACAGCAGTAATGTTATCGAGCATTACACACGAGTTAAAAAGATACAATACAAATAAATATAATTAAATAACAAATAAACATACAGAAAATATATACTGTACATATCCACCGTGGAAAAAACATCAATTAATGCAACAAATATACAAGAGCAACAAACTCATTACAGGTTCACCAACGCTTTATGCTGGTGGCGGATAAACAATTAGTGTAAAGTGATTCATCGAGGTGGGGTCTCGAGGGGCTACCATGCAATTATAACACCTACTGGTGCTTCTTGATGCAACACAATGTTACATGAACACGATTCGTTTGTTCCCCTTTGTGTGACAACTTGGAGCGTTAAAGTCCATTACGATTCACCATGCAAAGGTACCCACATCGTTACTTCATATGTTCACAAGTATTGGCTTTTAACTTAATAATGACCTTTTCTGCATCAAGACATTTCAGTTGTGTCACAATGCATCTAAGAGTTAACTTGCTTCCTCACCTGTAGTTAGTTATACATGCGTAGGACAGGTTTCTTTGCTTCTGCACTTGAGCAATGGATCTTGATGTGATGTTTTCTCCCCTGTTCTCCTCTGGTGTGATCAGCTGCTGCTGGAGCACCTGGAGTGCCTGGTGTCTCGGCACGAGCGCAGCCTGAGGATGACGGTGGTGAAGAGGCAGGCTCAGTCTCCTGCAGGAGTCTCCAGTGAGGTGGAAGTCCTCAAAGCCCTCAAGTCACTTTTTGAACACCACAAAGCCCTCGATGAGAAGGTGTGTGTGTGTGTGTGTGTGTGTGTGTGTGTGTGTGTGTGTGTGTGTGTGTGTGTGTGTGTGTGTGTGTGTGTGTGTGTGTGTGTGTGTGGTGTGTGTGTGTGTGTGTGTGTGTAGTGTGTGTGTGTGTGTGTGTGTGTGTGTGTGTGTGTGTGTGTGTGTGTGTGTGTGTGTGTGTGTGGTGTGTGTGTGTGTGTGTGTGTGTGTGTGTGTGTGTGTGTGTGTGTGTGGGTTTTGTTCATCTGTTCTGTCACGTGTGTTGTAGGTGAGGGAGCGACTACGTGTTGCTCTGGAAAGATGCAGCGCATTGGAGGAGCAGCTCACCATGTCACACAAAGAAGTAAGCACACTTATAATGGAATTAGCTATTCAATAGGTACGCCAACTCCATACCAAATATCTATAATACACTGCATTCATGTGATGAAAACATATTCGCGAGAACAACTTAACTGCCTACATTAAAATCACCTAACCTTCTAAAGCTGTTTATAGTCTCAGCTTTTCAACTTGAGTGATACATGTAGGCTTAAATGTCGCACATGTATCCCTCATAATGTGTTGAACTACAAGAATACGTCACCCAAACAGCAGTTGGGCTTTATCTTGGCAGCCCCTATATACTATCTCTTTTTTACTGCAGTTATTGTTAGATTTCAATATTTAAAGGACAAGTCAAATGATGCGAATACACAGATTTTAAGAGTTTTTTTTAGTTTGTTAATCTTGACATTAAAGGTAGGGTAGGTGAGAATGGAGAAACGCGCCAGAATTTGAAAGTACGCAGCCGAAACAAATCTGCCCCTTCCTTCAGACTTCCTCACAGAGCCCCTCCTCCAACACACACGAACGCGCACATGACCAATGAGGGCACGAGATAAGTTTGTGCACAGATGGAAGGCTGACAGGCAGGTAGGCCATCCAGTTACTTTAGCCGGCTCAGATGATTGGTCGAGCTTTTTACAGCGCCACGGCTTCCACTGATGACATTTGTTTGTTGTCAAAGCATTTCATGCATTCATTGCTATCGGGGTGTTAAGAGCATTCCATGGAATATAACCACAAGTGTTTCTGAAGTGGATTACCTACCCCGCCTTTAATGTAAAGTTGGTGAATTACAGGGACCAAACCTTATGGCACATGATACATGTATGAAAACATTTCTACTTTGACATTGTTCTGTTCCTACAGAACCTGAATAGAGACTCTTTGACAAGCTCATCAAAGTCTAGTTCAGCTGTTATCATGTATTACATTAAGAGACTTTTACACACCAGGAGATGCTGGCAACAAACACTTGACTCAATGCAATGTGTATTCTATCACATGGATTTGTGCACATTTGACCTGCTTCAGAAGTCTCTGCCGTACTGAATACATCTGGAGTATTCACTGTATATATCTCAGGAAGAGACTCCCAGCTCTGACGTACACACATGTGTTCATGAATGCAGAGCTTTTTAGTGCTGTGTGTTGAATGGGATCGAGATTGACAAAAGGCCCAGAGGATCTTTGGGAAGTGTCCTAGATTTCCTCTCTGCTTCGGTCATCTTTTGTTCCTGGTAATCTGCCTTGGACCACACACACACACACACACACACACACACACACACACACACACACGCACACACACATGCGCACACACACACACACACACACACGCACACACACATGCGCACACACACACACACACACACACACACACACGCACACACACATACACGCACACACACACACACACACGCACGCACACACACGCACGCACACACAGTACTTGTTTAGATTAGAAATAACAGCATTGCAAATTATTTCAATCAATCAAAGTTAATTGATACAGTCCAATATTAAACATTTGTCTCAGGGGACTTAACAGTTTATACAGAATATCAATCTGAATATGACACCCTTTCAAAAGGATTCCTCAATGTGGTCTTAATGCATTAGAGCAGGGGTGGCCAACCAGTCAGAGGTTAAGAGCCACATGTTTTCTATGTTACTGCAAAGAGCCACATCAAACACACAGTCACTGATACCGCTTGTTTCAGTTTTTTGTTTTCTGGAGACAAGATGTCAACCACGTCACTGATGCATCTTTGTGGCATTGGGATATATATTTTTAAAATCCTCTGGAGCAGAGAGAGGAGCTGTGTATTATTGTTATTGATGAATGCATCTGTTTCTTAGGGTCAAAAACAATAAACTCACAACTTAAGATGAAAGCGTTTAGTTTATTTAATAAAAGAGCACATGTTCAATGTGAAAAGTGACAGTAGTTATAGATTATTTGCAATCTGGTGCTATATATATATATTAAAAAAAACAATTATATATATTTATTAAACACCTTGAATTTCAGGGGGGGGCGCGGGGCTCCGTTGGCGGGGCGCAGCGCCCCTCCAAGACAATGGTAGGGGAATCACTGGATAGTGTTTAATCAACAATAGGTTTCCCCCCCTCAAAGGTGATTGGTTCACTGCATCGCAGGTATTATTGTGATTGGCTCTTGGGCCACATCAAAATTAGACGCGCTGTCATCCTCTCATACTGACACCTGACACCACACATACACACGTAGGGAGAGCCGGGACGAAAGTAACACGGGACGAAAGTAACGGAGCGATTTTATCCGAGCCCAAACAACTTTGAGCGGCCAAATTACGTCAGAATGATCAGCATTCAATACTTAACAGACCTACTAAATATCAGGTTTAACTGTCAGGAGGAGCTAGTGTTGTCACGATACCAACATTTTCATATAAGTCAAGAATTGCGATTCCGATTCTTTTTCAATACTGTTCTTAAAAAAAGGGAAACAGTCTTAAATGTAATTATCGTGCTTTATTTCACACCAGAACCATAACCATAACACACACTTTTAAACAATGAGAACAATAAATAAAATAAATGACAAGAATTCGTATTAAATAAAATAAATAAATGTCTTACAGACAGGCCTCGTGGTGTCCGTAGGCTTGCCCTCACTGTCAGAGATATAGCTAAAATACTTCCAAATTTCGCTTCTGGCGTCTTTTTTGTCAACAAGCCGAGGCGCAGCGGCAGTTGCACTCCCACTTGCAGCCATGCTTCTCGTTTTCTCACGTGCTCTGGCAGCTAGCGCGTGCACGAGAGAGGGGAGGGATTTAGAGCGTGCTTGAGAGGGGCGGGACTGCAGGCACGGCTGCAGTGCAGGGAGTGGAAGCAGAGCGCTGAACACACACGGCTCTTATTAAAACGGCGCTTTCTCACCGGAGTACTTTCCCCCGTTATTCTTAAAGTACCGATACTAATGAAACGGAGGAATCGTACCGTTTTTAACGGCAGGGTATCGCGGTACCTTTCAAGTATCGGTACACCGTGCAACACTAGTCAGGAGTCAGTGTCTCTCCCCCAAACTCACACATATACAATTCGATATGAACTGAAGACGAGCCGCATGAAACTTGGCAAAGAGCCGCATGCGGCTCGAGAGCCGCGGGTTGGCCACCCCTGCATTAGAGTCTAACCCTGGGTTTTATTCTGAAAGATCTGTTGCAATGTGTTTTTGTAAACTCCTGACTTGAGTGACTGAACGGTGTTAACAGATGCTGATGTGTTTGTGTAGTTGGCGTACCTCAGGGAGCAGAGCAGCCAGAAGAGAGGGCTGGCAGACGGGACCAGCGAGGTCAACCACAACTCGGAAAACACGCCGAGCACCAACGGCAAGGTGAGCTCACCGCACTGCGATACACGGGAAAGTAAACCAGGATGGGGGCGAGGCCATTGACGTATAAAGTGACCTGGATGCAGCTGTCGGTGCAGGATATGTTCAATCCTATGAACCTTTCTCAGTGGCGCGTGAAGCCAAATTAGCCTGACTCGTAGAGAGCAAAAGTACCTGCATCTGGGCCAAAAGAGCATGCATGCAAGTTTAGTTATATAGCACCTTTAAACACAAGGCAATTCAAAGTGCTTTACAAAAAATGAAAGACATTAAGAGCATTTAAGAAATAGTGCAGTTGGAACATATTATATATTAGACACGTATTTAAAAGCAAAGATAGTAAAACATGAATGACACAGGTACATGAGTAAAAGTTACAGTTTAGTGTGAGATGTGAATGTCTCAATTAAAAGCAGCGACAAAAAGAAAAGTCTTCAGCCTGGATTTAAAAGTAGTCAGAGTACCGGCAGGTTTCTGGGAGTTTGTTCCAGATATTTGGAGCATAGTAACTGAACGCTTCTCCATGTTTACACTAAGCCCCGCCTTCAATCCCCTGCTCTCGGCTCAGTCAATTGAATGGAGAAAATAACTCGTCTTTAAACGCATTGATTTGATTAGATTTATCTTAAATGTGTAAAACAATAATACATGAGAATTATTATTCAATACAAAATTAAGCAGTGTCAAATTTAATATACAGAAATATTACTGATTCTAAGTTATGTATAAACAAATGATCTACTTGATTACACATCCGAAAAGGTGTGGGAAGAAGTTTACACTTATTTAATCCCACCCCTTCTCCAAAAAACTAAATTATTAACATATATATTTCATTTTTTCTTAAAGAAAACATTTGTTATTGACAGATAAACAAACAAAACATAAACTTTTAAGACACCAATGATTTAAATAAAGGCTATAAAACTGTTCGTGCCGGACCCCCCTATTTCAAATCTTCGTTTCAGAATCTTCGTTCCTGATTTCTTCCATTTCCTAATTAGATTTTCAAAGAAGGCCCTCGGTGAAACGGCTCTTTTTTAAACCAAATTATCTTCTGCTGAAACACTTGTTGGTGCTTCCTCCCCAGCGGTCGTCGGACGGCTCCCTGAGTCAGGACGAGGAGTCGGGTCACGGCTTCCTGAAGGTCGGGGAGCTACAGGACGTCGTCGACCGTCAGACCGCTGATCTGGGCCAGATGAAGGAACGCATGGTTGCCATGGTTTCACGCATCAACGAGCTGGAGGAGGACCTGGACACGGCCCGAAAAGACGTCATCAAGTCCGAAGATGTGAACACGCGGCTGCAGAGAGACCTGAGAGAGGTGAGTTTGATTTATTACATTTTAATTCATTTAGTTTTTCCATGTTTTTAGTGGCAGGTGAAAATGTTAGTTCAATAAATGTGAGTCCGTTGTCTTTATGCTTTTAAAGAGTACGATGTTATCATCAAAACAAAGTGGGAGTGCAATTAAGTCGAAGCTAAATGACTTTCAATATTAGAAATATAATAATTATGTGGAAGTATAAAAAAACAAACTTTAGTTTTTACTTTTTCTTTTGATACAGGAATTGTTGTAAAATTGTACTCAATTCATACAGCATCATTTTTTAAATATAAAAAACGAATGATTTTAAGGAATTTCATCACAAAATCACTCATGCAGGATATTGTGTTTGTCAGCATGCATGTAACACACATTTGATGGCCTCTGTCATTTTATTATATAACCTATTGTATGAAGATATGTGAACAGAGTAGGGCTGCTCCAGTAATCGTATTTTAATCGCGATTACGATTATGGCTTGCAACGATTACGAAAACAACGTAATCGAAATAAAACGATTATTTATTTATTTATTTTTTCGTTTTTCAGTTGAATTAAACTTAAAGTTCAGGGTAATCAACTGTTAAAAACATACTATTCACATTTTTTTCTCCAATAAATGGATGTTTTCAAAGTCAATGAATAATCGCATTTAATAATCGCAATTACAATTATTGACCCAAATAATCGAGATTATGATTTTTGCCATAATCGAGCAGCCCTAGAACAGAGCGGTGCGACTTGAGCTAGATCTCATTCTGGCCTTACTGTTTTTCCCACAGGGGATGAAGAGGATTAAACTAAACATAAATACAAGAAAAACAATAACTGTAAAGTAGATTTTTTTACTTATATGTATTTTGTCACGTAATGGGGTTTATCATTTTGTTGTTGGGCATTCTTCTTGAATTGACAACACTGAGGGGAAGACATAATCAGTTAAAAGTACACTGCAGTATAAAGCTGTTTTGTATTTTCCCCATCATTGACTTTCAAACGAAATTCTCAAGGAATCAAGGCTTTCTTGTTTTCTACACAACAGCTACCTTTGTTGTCATTACATGAAGTCCCCGGCTCCTCCAACAGTGCAACGAACAATATATTTAAGACATCAATTACAAAAGTTATCTTGAAGAGTGCAAATTAGTAAGTATAATGATGGAATAAGTCAACTATATACATGTCAATGGAATGTAAAATCAGACAATGCACAGTGGAGATAACGACTGTTAATTGTAATAATATTTAAATATGTGGACTGTATGTGACAGTACTTGTTTAATATGCTATTGAGCTGTTTCTCTAAACACTTCTGCTGCTTTACACTAATGTAAATGTGTGTGTGTGTGTGTGTGTGTGTGTGTGTGTGTGTGTGTGTGTGTGTGTGTGTAGTCCATGGCTCAGAAGGATGACATGGAGGAGCGGATCACCACCCTGGAGAAACGCTACCTGGCGGCTCAGCGCGAAGCCACCTCCGTCCACGACCTCAACGACAAGCTGGAGAACGAAGTGGCCAACAAGGATTCGCTCTTCAGACAGGTAGACCCCTCAATCCTAGAATAAAACTTTCAAAAAATCATTGAGTGTGACAACCAGAGGACGCGTTAACCGAATATTTTTCCGTCTATGACGGATTTTTTTTAACAATGACGGAAAAATCTGAAAGCAGTCCGTCATTTTGACAGATTAGATCAAACTCGGAACAGCGCCAACGTTTCCCCGCAGCGAGGCTCCGGTGGTATGCCGCGTTATGCATGCCCTCCAAAAAGGAAATTATATCGGTTCCAAGCCGTACTTTGCCGTACAAATCATTGAAATGTCCGCGAGGTGCACAATACGGCACAACACGGCACAACACGGCACAACGCGGCAAAACACGGCAAAACACGGCATAACACCGGCGCTAATAGTTTACGAGCGTGCTCTCCCCCCGTCGTCGTCAGCTCGTTGTTACAGACCCGACGGGTATTAATGGATTAGGACGGAAATGTTACGATCCTGTCCGTCAAAATGACGGGCAACAAAAAAGTCTAACGCAACCTCTGGTGACAACAGATGAAAACATTAAAGCAGCTGCATCACATGGGATCAGATCTACTAGGTCTGTGCAGGATTCTTTTCTTTACGTTTGAGTTATTCACCTTTTTTGTCCTAACATGTACTTGGAAAGCGTATAAATAAAACAAAAGACACATGCCTTTTATCAAATTCAGTTGGTTACACAGCATTTTAACTTAAAAGCTAAGAGGTATATAAATAAGTTTGATTAAGGTGGATAAACAAAAAACGTCTGTGCAATCAACCACATTTTTATTTCAATTACAATTTTGACGTTATTATAAAACGCTTTTGTTTTCTCTTGTGTTATAAATCAAGCGCATCCCTTTTTTCAGGTTCCCATGCTACTGTAAAAATGCACCAGATCGAAGTATAGGCTACAAAATCCTCATTAAATTATATATATAATATGTTATAATACAATGTTACAATTAAAGCAGTGTTTTTTTTATTTTAATAAAGTTTAATCCATAATGAGATTGATTCTAAACCACAAGATGTTTCATGAGTAAAACATAATTATGGTTAATAGTCAGTGTCTCAATGTTGACCCAAAATAAATAATAATGTGCCATAATCTGCACACATCAACACATTGTAATCTGATGCTGACTCTAGTGTCAGAGTTGGCCTGCAGCTCTCCGGTCAGTTTTCTGCTAATGACTTCCTGCTGCTGTTTTCACACAGTGACGGCGCAGCAGGCATTGAATGGGACGCCTCAAACACCCTGACTGTTTCTTTAGATGAACTCACTGAGATGGAGACGTCTCTCTCCTCCTTTCTTCTGCGCTTCGTCCGTCTTTGTGTCGCTATGAATGCTCTCCTCCACACTTCCTGCCCACCCATCCCCCTTTGTCTCCCTCTCTCTAAAGTCCTCTCCACTCTCTCCACCTTAAAGGTCCCCTATCATACTGTTTTCCATCAATATTATAATTACAGGTCTCAGATATATCCAGAACCTGTCTCTGATTGGCTGAAACACCAAACAGATCATTGCAGCATTACCCATAATCCCCTCTGTTTCAGCCCTGTTTCCAAAGTGCTGATTCTCTGTCTGTTACTTTAGATGAAAATAAGGAGCCCCTCCCCACGCCCCTCTGAGAGAGATTTGGTTACAAAGAACTCAATGGTGCTCTAGGAGGAGGTTCAGGTTAAAAAGGGGGGGGGGGGGGTTACCTTGGTTGCTGATTGGCTAATGGTTACTCAAGACAACACATCATTATGACATCATAAAGTGGCCGAAATCTGATCAGCTCATTTTCAGACAGGTTTTTATAGAAATGGATCAAAAAGAGAGAGAATCTTTGTTCCTGAAACTTTCAGAGTCTCTTTACACAGAGGGGACACATGTTGATGTAGAAGAGACATGAAGAAGAGGGGACACATGTTGATGTAGAAGAGACATGAAGAAGAGGGGACACATGTTGATGTAGAAGAGACATGAAGAAGAGGGGACACATGTTGATGTAGAAGAGACATGAAGAAGAGGGGACACATGTTGATGTAGAAGAGGACATGAAGAAGAGGGGACACATGTTGATGTAGAAGAGACATGAAGAAGAGGGGACACATGTTGATGTAGAAGAGGGGACACATGTTGATGTAGAAGAGACATGGAGAAGAGGGGACACATGTTGATGTAGAAGAGACATGAAGAAGAGGGGACACATGTTGATGTAGAAGAGACATGAAGAGAGGGGACACATGTTGATGTAGAATAGAAATGAAGAAGAGGGGACACATGTTGATGTAGAAGAGACATGAAGAAGAGGGGACACATGTTGATGTAGAAGAGACATGAAGAAGAGGGGACACATGTTGATGTAGAAGAGACATGAAGAAGAGGGGACACATGTTGATGTAGAAGAGACATGAAGAAGAGGGGACACATGTTGATGTAGAAGAGACATGAAGAAGAGGGGACACATGTTGATGTAGAAGAGACATGAAGAAGAGGGGACACATGTGGATGTAGAAGAGACATGAAGAAGAGGGGACACGTGTTGATGTAGAAGAGACATGAAGAAGAGGGGGACACATGTTGATGTAGAAGAGACATGAAGAAGAGGGGACACATGTTGATGTAGAAGAGACATGAAGAAGAGGGGACACATGTTGATGTAGAAGAGGACATGAAGAAGAGGGACACGTGTTGATGTAGAAGAGACATGAAGAAGAGGGGACACGTGTTGATGTAGAAGAGACATGAAGAAGAGGGGACACGTGTTGATGTAGAAGAGACATGAAGAAGAGGGGACACATGTTGATGTAGAAGAGACATGAAGAAGAGGGGACACATGTTGATGTAGAAGAGACATGAAGAAGAGGGGACACATGTTGATGTGGAAGAGACATGAAGAAGAGGGGACACATGTGGATGTAGAAGAGACATGAAGAAGAGGGGACACATGTGGATGTAGAAGAGACATGAAGAAGAGGGGACACATGTTGATGTAGAAGAGACATGAAGAAGAGGGGACACATGTTGATGTAGAAGAGACATGAAGAAGAGGGGACACATGTTGATGTAGAAGAGACATGAAGAAGAGGGGACACATGTTGATGTAGAAGAGACATGAAGAAGAGGGGACACATGTTGATGTAGAAGAGACATGAAGAAGAGGGGACACATGTTGATGTAGAAGAGACATAATAATAGGTGACCTTTGAAGCAAACCCTGAGGATGAAGCACAGAGTCTTCTCCGTGTTTGCTAATAATGACTATGTTAGTTTGTTTGTCTGATTGTTGCAGACGGAGGACAGGAACCGGCAGCTGCAGGAGAAGCTGGAGCTGGCGGAGCAGAAGCTTCAGCAGACGCTCCGTAAAGCTGAGACTCTGCCGGAGGTGGAGGCCGAGCTGGCTCAGAGGGTGGCTGCTCTCACCAAGGTAACCCCACCCGTCTGCTCCCAAAGGCACCTCTGCACCTGCCTTCTGACTGTGATCATGAAATACATCAAACATATAAAATCTGACATTAAATGATCTTGCATTTTCATTTATTCTACTACTTCAATTCAATATTAATACAGACAAGGTACCAGAAAACACAATTAGTAGAAGCGGGGGAAAGCAGCGCTCCCGAGAGGCATTATATCTCAACGTTTTGGTCAGAGACTCAAATATTATTGCATTTTGACTGCAAACTTTATAGGAGAATCGTTTCAGCACTTACTGAAAGAATAACACCACTCCGATGATTCCTTAATATTACCTACAAAATAAATATAAAAACAGAAACGTTTATCTGTATACAACACGCGTAAAATATGCATTTACGTATGCCCCCATGAACGTCTATCTATACACATTAGGGCTGCTCGATTATGGCAAAAATCATAATCTCGATTATTTGGCTCAATAATTGTAATTGCGATTATTCATTGACTTTGAAAACATCAATTTATTGGAGAACATTTTTCTGAACAGTATGTTTTGAACAGTTGATTACCCTGAACTTTAAGTTTAACTCAACTGAAAAACCAATAAAAAATGTTTTTAATAATAAAAAAATAATCGTTATATTTCGTTGTTTTCATAATCGTTGCAAGCCATAATCGTAATTGCGATTAAAATACGATTATTGTATATACATTGTGCGATTAATTGAGCAGCCCTAATACACATATATACACGTATATTACATATATTATGTAAATGTCCCCTCTGTGTCTGACACACACATGCATACACACACTTCAGGTAGGGTTTCAACAAGGTTATTTCCAGTGCTGAAATAATAGTATAATTCTGAAAAATGAAAATAAACACTTAGCAGAGGTTTAAGAAAATCCTAAAGCATGTTTTTGCATCTCTTTAACCATCCTCTTCCCAAAAGTAAGATCACTTTTAAGCCAAGGGTGGAGATATTCAAATAATGGGTGCTTTATTCGGCATGTGACATTTAGAGTGGAGCCAAATCTGAATGGCTGTTGAATCCCATGTTTTTTGTATATACCTATACAGGCACAAAAAAACGTACTGGGTTGTTTTATGTCACAGTCAGGCATTTCAGAAACAAAACATGTGGATAATAAGCACTACAAAATGTATCAAGATGTCTTCCTGTTAAAAGTTTAGACAAACTCCAACGCTTTGATTCAATCTACCTTTGTCTCTTTGGGGAAAATGTGTATTAATATACCGTTACTTCCATCATGACCTCATCACACAGTGTGTACGTTGCAGCGGCCGCTCCTCCCTGCGGAAGCTGCCGAGGAAGCCATTGTTTGTGTTTCTCCAAATATCCACAGGGACCTATTTTTAGAGATTTGGCTCATGTTTGTATCCATTTATAGTTTGGGTCTTTGTCCTGCACGCTGCTGCGGAACGTCCACGAGCGGCTCAGCACCTTATTTGTGTTGGAACTGGCTCACAGTGGCTCTCTGAAAACTAGGCGAACAATCTTTCTCATGTTAATCTCATCAGGAAGCAGGCGCCTCTTTTCACATCAATAATGTAATCTGTTTACATTCTTCTCCGTCTACAGTCTTGCTTTTATGTTACTTGTATAGCTGGGATTTGTAGTGTTTAGAAATAGAGGGCCGCAGCGACGCGTCCTAAAACCCGGAAGTAAGTTAGCATTTGACCACTTCCGGTTCCTTCGACAAAAACCAATGCAATGTCTCCACAGGGTTTAGGAAAAGAGCTGAAATCAGGTCTGTGGTTGAGACACATTGAAGAGACGGATCACGTTTTGTTCTACGACATTAAATCCATCAGCAGTGACCCCGCTGGTGATTTCTGAAGAGTTGACGAGTCTGAAAAACGATGGTTGTTACCAAGTGGTTGAATAGGACTACAGAAGTCGTCCAGGCCGTCATTACGCCGAACACGTAAACACTCCGGAGTTTGTTTGCCCTGTTCAGCTTGAGAGCAAGGCCCTCGCCTCGAGGTAATTTATAAACACACACAAAGAAGAAAAAAATTAAAGAAATCTAGACCGCAAAAAAAATTAAACAAGCGAGTGCCTGTTTTTCCTGGCCACGGTCAGGGTCCTTGAACACAACACGAGCCTAACGTGTCATCACGTGGTATATGTCTCGTCTGACAGGGGTGCAGTTCTGCCGGAGAGCACCAGAACGCGGCTCCGGCACACAAATTGCAGTAACCATAAGGAGCCGTACACATGCCGCAGTTTTTGCGTGGCTGTGTCTTTAGCTGAAAGCCCAGTGGCGATCTGCTCATCTGTCATACAGTCAATAACTTTGTTATTAGCATCTGGTTAGCTAGCTATGCTAACGAATATAAGAAGCTTTTTCTCCAACCAGTGAGGTAAAGGCACATCTTTATATGATCATAATAGTTATCAAAAAACAAGAGAATAAAGTAAACAGGTATACAATACTATATGACAGTAAAAAAAGTTGTTATTAATAAACAAGAATACAGTTTGAAAGGAGAGTGATTTGTAAAATATCCATAAAGAAAAATAAATCTGCTTCCAGTTCTGTTTCATCTGGATGTTGAGAGATGTATCCATAGATCTATTAATGTTGCTCTCAAAATGCACCAGATTGATGCTTTTAACTTCAACATTTAAAAAAAATCTTCCCGGGGGAGCATGCCCCCCGGACCCCCCTGGAGGAGGTAAGGACCCCCCTAGGGAGATTAGGCCCCCCCCCCCACTTAAAACATGTTCGCATGGGTAGGAAACTAAATACACTTGCACACATCTTGTGTCCATATCTTTCTGTTTGGTGGTCATGCCACACCGTGCACGCATGCGCGAGTCATGGCAAGATATCTGGATTGAGAGGTTGCTTTTTCTTTGCACAGCATGAAAGAAAGGCCAAATGAATGGGCTGTGATTTTAGTATTTTTAAGCAGAGGTCAATCATTTGTACGGCCCTCGGAGGATGTTGAAAAAATTGAAATGGCCCTTGAGAGGAAAACGGTTCCCCACCCCTGCTTTAGAGTCTGTTTGTTTGAATATGGATGTTAAGTTGGCGACGTTGAAGCAGCGACCCTGCTGTAGTTCCTTTATAGCATAACATTAGCATTTTGCTTCTGGCGACTAGATTTATGATTAGAAAATTATAAAAGTAGGATAGACATGTGGAGATTATCCGGCTGAACAAAACGTGATCCGTCTCTTAAATGTGTTTCAATCACAGACCTGATTTCCAGCTATTTTCCAAAGCCCTATGGAGGAATTGCATTGCTTTTTGTGGAAGGAACCGGAAGGAGTTTGCTTCCGGGTTTCAGGACGCGTCACTGCGGCTCTCTATCGACCCTATGTTTAATACGCTCATAATGATTTTGTTTTCAGGGTAAGCAATTACATTTAAACATGAGATTTCGTAACAGCTTGCAGAGAATGAACTCCTGCAGCCACAAAAAATCCATATGCTTAAAAAAAACATTGAGTTATGTTCTGTTATATTCCCATAGGATCATTTAGTAATAGTTTATTTATTTAGCCTAATATCACACATCTGTCTCAGGGGGCTTTACACTTTGTACAGAATATTACACCCTTTGTCCCGACACCGTCGCATCGGACATGTTATTCTATCTTTATTGTACATTTTACTTGAATTTCTTATGTTTATTTATCTATTATTGCACATTCTTTCTTCCCATGTCATATAATATATCACATTTAAAACATGTCCTATATTTTGTTCATTCTAAAATGGAACAACGTAAACCAATTTCCCCTGAAATATGAAAGTATTTCTGATTCTGATTTCCTCCTCTGAGCTTAAGCCACAAAATCGTTTAAATAGAACATTGTGGAAGTCAGACGTGCTCAGAAATATAAAGGAACTCCTGGTGGGTTTAATATTGCATCCATTCAGCTCTGAAACATCCACATAAATCCTTCATTCTGTTATTTCTCCCTCAAAGTCGCTCAGTCTTTCTTCTGAAGTCTAATTTAAATTCCCTCATTGTCTTAACCCTGCTCTAACTCAACATATCCTCTGTTTGTCCACCTGTTCTGTCCTCAGGTCATGAAAGTCATTCAGTTTTTTGTCCATGTTCTCTCATTTCTATGTCTAATCGTGCACATTAAACCTGTTTTCTTCATGCTCTGCTCTTGTGTGCTCTTCATGCCGCCTCCTTGTCAAACCCTTAGTGTGTTCTGTGTGGCTTTAAAGGCGCTAAGACTAAGAAGAAGGTAGAGCAGCTTCACTCAGAGAATAAAGCTCCTGGATAGTGGGAACGTTTGGTTCCGATGCTGAACTAAACCAGGCCGTTAGATTAGCTGATCACATTACCAAAATAAATGTGTTTTCTACTAGTTAACCCTTCTGTCGTGTTCGGGTCAAATCTGACTTTCACCAATCATAAATATTGTGTTTTACATTTGATTGCTTCACGGCCTTATGATGTGCTCCTAAAATGGGAACATATACAATTGCTGATCTCAACTTTCATTGAATTGTGAGTGGTTTAGTCAACTTTGTAACACCTATTGTGTTCCCAGTCATACATAATGAATAGGTAACCCTAGATTATGTCCATCCATCAGATGGTACACACCCGCATCGGCAAAATGCTGATTTAAAATACATTGTCAGTGTCTATTCTTTGTATATTCACTGCAGCTTTTCATGTAAACCAGTTGTGTTAATGTAAGGACATTTAAAACAGAACGGGAGCACCAAAGTAAGGATGGAGAAACGAACACAACAGGAGGGTTAAAGAAAACAAAAACATATGATAAACATCTCTACCTTCAGTTTGTCTTTTACATGACAAGTGCCTGGTTAAGTGCAGCGTCAGATCACATCTTAAAGTCCTGTGGTGTCCTTCTCTGTGTTTGTGATCATGTGCTGGTGAGCTGTGTTAGCGCTTCATGCAGATCGCTTTCTAATAAAGTTCATTTCATTTACAAATAGATACAAAAAATACAGGTACAATCATGAGATATAATGGAGACATGAGACACCCTGAAGCATTCAGAAAAGGGTCCAAGACACCTAACAGAAAGCATTTAAATATATTTACTTAAACATAGAATTGGAGAGGGTTTGTGTACAAGCCACTTCAGTCCAAGCATTGGGAATATTTGAAGAGATGATATCAATAATTGCTGCTCACTAACAATACATTGTTAATAAAGTTGTTTTTAGCATCTATAGAATCAATGTTTAAATCCCCAAGAATAAAACAATTTGTAGTTTTTCTTTACGCAATATAAGAGTTCATCCAGTTCAATCCCCTTTTTTCCCAAATATGGAAAAATATTGTGGTTGTCCAACACAAACAGGAAGTGCCTGCTGATTTGCTTAAAAGACTTTAGGAGACCCTGCCCTTTAGAGCGGTGGGACAGTCCGTCTCAGAAACGTGTTTACCCGCCAACACACAGATCACATCTGCTGTTACACTCTCCATATGTTCCTCCACACGCCTCATTGCAGATCAAATATTGTAATTCATTCATTGTGGTTCCCACGGTTTGTTGGACTTACTTTCCTAGATTTTAAAACAGGCATAAATAGAAATGTGTTTTTGAAAAGGCTTTATATATTTCACTCAATAATAGACATTTCTTTCAGTGAGCTTCTGTAAAACCTTGTTGTTCTTAGTATTACAAAAAACAACCTTATTGTTAAAACAGTAATTGAGCTGTTTTTCCCCTCAAAATCAGCCATGTTGGGCCCTTGAATTTAAGGGAATTAAGCTTGAAAGTCCTTTTTAAAGAAGTCATTTTGGATGTTTAACGAACCTTGATTCACACAAACACCTGTACTCATCCGTAGGTCAGATTAATGGCTGTTGAATTTGTTTTAGTCCTTGCTTTGCTGTCCTCTCCTCATGCAGCCGGTGGGTTTCCTCTAGCTGTTGTTAGCGTCTGTAGCTTCTCAGGCTGTTGTTGGTGTTGGTGACCCCCCCCCCCCCCCCCCCCCTCCTCCTTCCGAAGGACCAAAAACCTCAAACACTTTTCTCAGCGAGGTCCTTCTCCAGGATGGATGACAAACCCCTCTAGGGGAAGATTACATCTAGCACCAGAGAAAGTGACTATGTTTACATGCACAACATATTCATTGGTTTTACCTCTAATCTGAAATAGACAATGTTCCTACTGAGCTCTTGACATGGCTAATAAAAAAACATACCATCAATGCCCCTTTTTATAAAGAGAAATGTTTAAGCTGCTGGCGGAGAGGTGCAAAAACAGCCTTCTTCATTCTTCAAAAATCTTCTTGAAAAGGTTGAGAAATCGATACAACACCCTGTTGATATTAAAGTATTGTATAATATCTAAAAGTAGTACGATATGTCTCTTCTCTGATCACTGGCAGTAATAATTAACTGCCATGTGTCCCAAATTGTAGTTAAAACTTCAATTAAGTTGCATATTCCAGATGGGCTATATACATATGTCATACTCAACTGTTTAGATGACCATTATCAAATATAATAGTGGATATTAACATGCATGTAAACCTAATCACTCATCGGCTCTTAGAGGATTGATTATATTAAGAAATATGTGTTTTTGTATTGTCTCCATCTTTAGGCAGAGGAACGCCACGGCAATGTGGAGGAGAGACTGAGGCAGCACGAGGCCCAGCTGGAGGAGAAGAACCAGGAGCTGCTCAGGGTGAGGAACTACTTTCACTATACACTCACAGTTTTAATTTATATAGAGGTGCAGTGATTTTGTATTTCTGTGTTGGGCTCTGAATGCAGCATTCCCCTCGACAAAAAGCCAATTGGATTTCTCCTTCTGATTTTGGATCATAGCAGAAAATAATCTTTGTGTCAAACAAACGTTTACGACTTACACGTTTTGTCCAGCAGGATGATCTCCACATATAAACATCACTTTCTGATTTTTGAAGTGTAAAGCTAATGTTGGGCTATAAAGGAACAACAGCACGGTCACATGACTTCACGTCACCACCGCTAAGCTAAAGGTGGCTAATGTTGGGTTATAAAGGAACAACAGTACGGTCACATGACTTCACGTCACCACCGCTAAGCTAAAGGTGGCTAATGTTGGGCTATAAAGGAACTACAGCACGGTCACATGACTTCACATCACCACCGCTAAGCTAAAGGCGGCTAATGTTGGGCTATAAAGGAACTACAGCACGGTCACATGACTTCACGTCACCACCGCTAAGCTAAAGGTGGCTAATGTTGGGTTATAAAGGAACAACAGTACGGTCACATGACTTCACGTCACCACCGCTAAGCTAAAGGTGGCTAATGTTGGGCTATAAAGGAACTACAGCACGGTCACATGACTTCACATCACCACCGCTAAGCTAAAGGCGGCTAATGTTGGGCTATAAAGGAACTACAGCACGGTCACATGACTTCATGTCACCACCGCTAAGCTAAAGGCGGCTAATGTTGGGCTATAAAGGAACTACAGCACGGTCACATGACTTCACGTCACCACCGCTAAGCTAAAGGTGGCTAATGTTGGGCTATAAAGGAACTACAGCACGGTCACATGACTTCACGTCACCACCGCTAAGCTAAAGGTGGCTAATGTTGGGCTATAAAGGAACAACAGCACGGTCACATGACTTCACGTCTCCACCGCTAAGCTAAAGGCGGCTAATGTTGGGCTATAAAGGAACTACAGCACGGTCACATGACTTCACGTCTCCACCGCTAAGCTAAAGGAGGCTAATGTTGGGCTATAAAGGAACTACAGCACGGTCACATGACTTCACGTCACCACCGCTAAGCTAAAGGCGGCTAATGTAGGGCGTGATGAAGTTTAGTCGTCTCATTCAGACACTTGTTAGCAACCAACGTTTTAGATTCCCCATTGGGTTATTTACAGACGTATTTTATGTCAGCGAATTAAAGTCTCTTCAGCTCGGTTCCTTATTTCAGACTAACAACCCAAAACATGTGACTTCCAGATGAGCGAGGACTAAAATGCTGACTTGTTTTAGGACTCATTCCTGTAACACGCGATGTAACAGTCAGATCGTGTGTACCGTTTTTACAAAGCTGTCTTTTTGTGTGCAGGCACGGCAGCGAGAGAAGATGAACGAGGAGCACAACAAGCGTCTGTCTGAGACGGTGGATAAGCTCCTATCAGAGTCCAACGAGAGGCTGCAGCTGCACCTCAAAGAGAGGATGTCTGCGCTGGAGGACAAGGTGACCGGAACATACATGTGATCTGAGAGGAGGACACTGCAGTCTTTGACATAATGAACATGTTTTTAAAGTCAGTGTTTATTTTTCAGTGAGTCAACTCTACTTTATGCTTTCAGAATGCCCTGATCAGAGAGCTGGAGCACACCAAGAAGCTGATCGAGGAGTCTCACCACGACAAGGTGAGGAGTCCTTTAAAGTTTCTGCTGTCTCTGTGTTCTCAGATCTTTAGGTAAATGTACTTAAACAACACTGAAAATACTGTGCTACAACAAGAAGTCCCACGTTGGAAATGTATCTTAACTAAAAGTAGGGACTATAAGCAAAATGTGGTAAAAGTAAAAAATGTATAGATGCCATAAGATCTCTCAATTGGCTAGTTTCTAAGCTACTAGCCTGCTGTTGAGTAAACAAATGATTTAAACTTAAACGCAACATCTGATTAAATGTATTTAAGTTGCATTTCGCCAATGCTTTCGTCTCCACCCATTGATCCCTCCATCTGTGAATCGGTCCTACAGGAGCAGCTCCTGATCCAGATAGAGACGATGCGGGCGGAGAGTGAGCAGGGGAGGAGCCGGAGCAACTCCTTACTGCACGGGTGAGACACCGTCACAACGCACACTCCTTCCCCCCCCCCCCTCTGGGTCCAATAAAGTATTCCTGATCTGTGTTGCACATATGGACCACTCACATCTAGTGTAGCCTTTTGCATTGATTACAGTCAAAGGTCTGAAACCACCAGACTCAGGGACAGGTTCATCCCACCGGACATAAGACTGTTAAACACCTGAATTGTTACAAAGAACATCCATAACATTCACCTGTTTGCAACTTACACATTATTTATCTAATATATCATATTCCAATCACTTATATATAGACTCTTATTGCACTATTTCTATCCTATTTCATTGTATTTACTTGCACTATTTTATCTGTTTTATTGTGTTGCTCCGTTGGAGGAGCCTGGGACCTAAGATTTTCATTGATATATCTACACTGTAGCTATGTACACAACAAACACCTTGGAAAAACCTGGTTTTAAACCTGTAACCTCTCAGTCTTTCTCACATTCCAGTTTTTGTATGTGTTTTTTTTCAGACAGCTCACATCTAGTGTAGCCTTTAGCATTGATTACAGTTAAAAGGAAGTTTTCTTAAAATAGTTCTCTATCTGTAATTTGTGTTTTACTTCCACGACATCAAGTCAAATTCCTCGTACACGGCAACCTACCTGGTAATAAACCCGTTTCTGATTCTGAAGTGTTGCGGCAGCCTCTTGGCAAAGAAGAAGGATTAGATCTAAACCCTAACCCCTCAGTCTTTCTGACATTTCAGGTTTATTTATTTTTTGTAATATATTTTTTATTGACATTTGGCAGCAAACAATTACAGTGTTTTTTTCAACACATAGTAATTGTACATCTTAAGTTCGTCGGTCCGAAATGCCTTTTTCTTTTTTTACACAAAGATAAAATAAAAACGAGTACGAACATTAGTGATCAGGACTTCACAGTAAAATCATACGTTTGTAAAAATTAAATCTGGCCTATGAGGTTTTACGAAATCAGTCCACTTTCTCCATCGTGATACAAATAGTTCCAGTTTGTGATTGACAGATGATGTTATCCTCTCCATTTTGTAAATGTCCATTGTAATATCGACGTTTCAGGTTTTTTAATATGTGTTTTTTCTTCTCCCAGACGCTCTCAGATGGGCAGCACTCCAGACTTCAGGTACCCGGTGTCGGCCTCCTCGATGATGGACAGTAACTCGGATCATTACGGCAGCGCTCTGGTGCTGCGGCGGCCGCAGAAGGGACGCATGGCAGCGATGAGGGACGAGCCGTCAAAGGTCAGCTAAACATCAACTGCTGCTGGATGTTTGTCAATGAAAACGACACTTAGGAACGATCCGATACGATAACACTTTAATGGTCAGATCGAGTCTTGACTTGCATCACAGCAGCTCCATGGCACATACGATAGGATTCAAGCTAAATGGATCTCGAGCTTTATATATTTCCTCTATTGATGTTTAAGGGATACACCATGCCATGGGCAGAAGGAGCAGATGTGTCTTTATCATTTAGGCTAACACTTGATGGAGCATCTTGTAAAAAGAGAAAGTAGGAGAAACAGAATTATTTTTTTATTATTAGTCAATTTATTGAACATGTCAGAAACAAAAACATACAACAATAATATATATATATATATATATATTCTCTTTTTTCCTTTTTTTCTCACTCAAATTAATAATTATAACAAAGTACAAGAAAAACCAATAATAAATCTCAAATAGTCTCATGTTCAACAATCACATGACCATGGTTGGTACTTTAAAACAAATAAGAGACAATGTAATTATTTTGTATTCACATGCAGTTTAAAAGGACAAGAAAAGTAATACGGCAGAATAAAGACATGAGAAACCCTGATACACAATTAAACAGGGGCTGACGAGCTGAAGTGAACATGTTTGTTGTATAGGATTGAAGCCAAGCTTTATATGACACATATATTTCCTTGATGTTTAAGGGATAGGACATGCAGTGGACAGAATGAACATATTCCTCCATATAATTCATGCTTACACGTAGACGATTGATGTAGCATCTTGTAAAAAGAGAAACAGAAATCACGGGACTTATTCTAGATGATTTGCATTTCCTATTTAAAAAAAATAAAACTATTACATAACGTTTTATTCACATGCAGTTTAAAAGTACAAGAAAGATCACAAGGCAAGGTTACGAGTTGTGAAAGGAGACACCCAGGTAAACAATGTGAAGCTTGAAAAAAGGGGCTGACGAGCTAAAGAGACGATGTTTGAAATATATCTTACAAGCTAAAAATCATCTAACCGAATACCTTAAAAATAATAACTATGACCCTGACTATTAAACGGTCCCAACATATTTATTTCATCAGTCAAAACATATAGATATAATATATAAAGTATGTGATATAAACACAGATATATGACGAAGGGAGAATAATGACCCAAATGCAGACCAAATGTTTTGGAATTGAAGATTATTTGAGTTGTTTACGTGTTGTCGTCTCAATGTGTTGTTTGCATCGTGCCGCCTCTCCCCCCCCTCTACCTGTTTAATGTTTGAGCTCTTTTTGATGATTTTCTTCTTCTCCATTTCTCTCTGTTTGCTTCCTCTCTGGACTTCAGCGACATGTAAGTGAACGAGGAGGAGGAGAAACATGATTTTGTCTGTGATGCATTAATGAAAAACTCTCCAGTTGCCTCTAAACCTCTCATTCAAGATTCAAAGGTTTTATTGCCGTATGCTCAAAGCTACAGTGTAGACATGGCAATGAAAATCTTCTGACCTGAGCTCCTCCAACAACGCAACATATAAAATAAATAGTGGTTATTTCCTTAACGATTAATCAATTATTCAGATAATTGTCTGTATTTTTGTCTGTCGATCCCAGTTTCTCAAATTCTCTCAAAATGTGGATTTCTCAAACTAAAATCCAAAGATATTCACTGTGATATGATATAAAGCCCAGTGAACAGCAATTATTTTGATTTTAGAGACTTAAAATAGCAGTTTCCTTAACGATTAATCAATTATCAAGATATTTGTCGGTATTTTTTTGACTACCATCGATCCCAGTCTCTCGAAATGTGGATTTTAAAAACAGAAATCTATGAATTTCTTCCGACCTGAGCTCCTCCAACAATGCAACATACAATACAAAAATAAAAAGTAGTGCAAAAAGTCTATAAACATGTAAATAGAATATGAAATGTACGAGAACAGAATATGACATTAAATAATGTAAATTAAGACAAAATTAAACATCTCCCTCCTGATTCAAGATTCAAGGCTTTTATTTTCATTTGTGGTTATGACAATGAAAACCTTTGGTCACAGGCTCCTCCAACGGTGCAACACAATCAAACAGATAAAATAGTGCAAGTAAATCAATTACAATATATAGAAATAGTGCAGCATAGATGAGAGTAACACCTATGTCACTTCCGGGCGAAAATTACGCTGTCATTTGAATGGCGGTCGATACAAATTCTGAAGTTTTTGCCAATCCGATCAGAAATGTAAGAAAAACGTAGATTTGTGGATCTTCAAAGAGCCCGATTACGATGGCCAGTCAGGCTAACAAGGAAATCGACGATCGGGCTCGATATATGGTTAAATAAAAATCAGTAGACAAGGCTGTAATTTCGCCAGCTGTTACTCTCATGAGCGAGGCGGAAAATAATAGTTTTAACATGCCAAAAAGCTGCTGTCGTTTATTGCACCTCAAACATTACAACAAATACAGAGTTACGTGTTACTGGACTTCCTCTAAGAAGAAAGGACAGTATCAGAAGATCTGTGGCTTCAGGCTTGATCGCCGTTCAAATGACAGCGTTGGTTTCCCCCAAAAGTGGGCGGCGCCATCATTTTCGCCCTGAAGTGACGCATGTGTTACTCATCTATAGTCTATATACAGTAATTTAAATATTGATATATACAAACAGATGTTATGGATGTTCTTTCAAAAGTTCAGGTCAGGTCAGTTCAGTCTTATGGCCGGTGGGATGAAACTGTCCTGCCTGCTTTCACTGTCTTTTAAACCTTTTTCTGCCTTCAATATCATTTAATCTTCGTGTCTCTCCCTCCATCTTCTCCGTGTCGTTGCCCCAGGTGCAGACGTTGAACGAGCAGGAGTGGGAGCGCATGCAGCAAGCTAACGTCTTGGCTAACGTGGCGCAGGCGTTCGAAAGCGACATGGACGCGTCGGACCTGGAGGAGGACAGAGAGACGATGTTCAGCTCCGTGGACATGCTGTCCCCCGGGGGCCAAGCCGACGCTCAGACCCTCGCCCTCATGCTGCAGGAACAGCTGGACGCCATCAACAACGAGATCAGGTACAGGCACAGGGGGAAGTTACTAAGTACATTGAGTATTTCCATTCTTTTGTACTTTATACTTCTGTTTTACTAAATCTAAAAGGGAAATATTGTAGTTTTTCTCCAGTAAATTAGAGTTACTAGTTACTTTTGACATGCAAACGACCTGCGAGCATGCACATGACAATTCATTAGCTACACATCCACAAAGTACTATTTCTTATGTGCAATGGTTTGAAGTCAGATCTTTTTATTTGATCATCTAAAGTGGATTTGTGCACCTTGCTGCAATACTCATCAATCACCATTAGATTAGATAACTCACAACTATACAACTAGATTTACGTATCCCCAAGTATTATTAATTATTTTGTAACCGCAGTTTAATAACAAAATAAAATGTTAATAAACACTAAATATACAGTCTAAGGATATTTCTAAAGAGTATCTATAGAAATAGATACTCTTTAGAAATATAATACAGAATGCTCAATGTACAGAATAATACAGAATCTGGATTGAATAGTTATAATAATATAACTTCTCCATCTGATCCCTGCAGGATGATCCAGGAGGAGAAGGAGAACACGGCGATCCGGGCGGAGGAGATCGAGTGTCGTGTCGGCAGCGGGGAGAGTCTCGGAGGTCGTTTCCGCTCCATGAGCTCCATCCCCCCCTCTCTGTGTGCCGGGTCCTCGCTGGGCGGCTCCCCCCCGGGCTCCGGCAGCTCCACCCCCCGCAGAGTCCCCCGCAGCCCCAACAGAGAGCTGGACCGCATGGGGGTCATGACCTTGGTAAAACTCTCCTCACTCTCACGTGTTTTTAATCTACCAGCATCGAACAACTGCACCTAATACGATACGATAACACTTCAATGGTCAGATCAAGTCTGAAATTCAGCTCCATGTAAATAATAACACATTAAGTCCCGTTTTTAAGATCGCTTGTTCAGTTCTGCCTCTGAAACGCTGGTGGTTACATTAGGCTGAATTGCAGGGTTCGTACACATTTGCAAAATGCGTGATTTTAATCGTTATGTTGTCAAGGTTAGGAATGGCCTTGTGTTTTTATTATGCCTTTTATTTAATCCTTTACGTAAAACATGTTAGACATATCTTGAATTGTAATATAATCCTTTATATATGTTACTTTTTAAATGTTGAAAATGCTTGTTTTTAGATTTTATTTTTGCAGCGTTTAAAAACAACTAAGTATAACAATTATGACTTTTTTTACAAAATGTACATTTTATTGCAATAAAGTTTCACATGGGTCTAGGTAAGAATTAAATAATGATTAAAAGAAAAGCGGTGATGCTACACACTGACTGCTTCAGTAGTTCTGTAAACTTTATTTATTATTTTCTTGCAGTTCTAGAAACAATGGAGAGCCTTATGTTCAGGTTAATTAAAAATGCACTTTAAAAACCCGTTATTTACACCCCTACAAAGTTGTACGAACCCTGGAAATGTAATCTACTTTGACGCTGGTTTCCTTCCATATTACCTTTCTGTATTGATGCTGTCTCCTCACCTCAGTGTGGTCAGTGTACTAACACCGTGTGTAACCGTGTGTGAGAGTGTGTAACCATGTGTATGTGATGCCCCTCGCTGTAGCAGTATTGCTCTGACCCGTACATCATCCAGCAGACAGTCACTTACCTGCCCTGTGCTGCAGCTGGCCCTCAGGCTCATAGCTATGCACCGTACTTCCAGGTACCTGCAGAACTTTCCCCCTCCTCCTCCTCTTCCTCCCTGGGTGGGTGCAGTCCGCCTCTTCCTCTCCGTTCTTTTCCGTCTGATATCTCCCCCCCGCTGTGTGCTCAACACATCACTCTGCTCCGAGAATAACGGCACAGAAATAACTTGTTTGTGAAACTGGGAACACAATGTACTTGAAGCAGGTTGTATTAGGTAATTCAATGAATACATATTTGCTTTAAAGACTTTCCCTTATTATCAGAAGTAGAATGGTTTATATTGTATCTTTCGAGATCACTAATGAAATCACAAAACAATAAGGAACTACGTTTGTTCTTCATTAAGTCACATACACCTGAGTAGTGGGCGTTTCAAATAGGAGCAGGTTCCTCTGTGATAGACTGCAGAATGGAAAAAGATAAAGTTGTATAGGATATTGTTATTTTGCAGTGTGTTATATTGTATTAACCTTTTAAAGTCAACTCCTCCGCGGCATCCAGACATTTTTAAACACCATTTCAAAACATATAAATTCATTTTAGAGGAAATGTAAAACAGCCTTTTTCAAAGTCCTTGTTAGATTTATGGCTCGTAAATCTTTACTAATTGTCAGCATTTTCCATTACGAGTCTTATTTGTTGAATGAATGGATACAAAATGAAATCCTTGTGCATTCCCACGATTGCAGTTATTTTCCAATCCAGCTGTTTTGAAAGTACTGCAGTGAAAAGCTGGCTCACTGTTCTGCTGACACACAGTATACTGAACCACAGCTGTGAAACATTACAGACATGAGAGGGACATTGATCAACTATCTATCTTAAAGGCATTGGTGAAACTAGTCAAACATTCCTAACAAAAAAGTAGCATTTTGGGTAATTAAATAAATGTCTCCTCCCTCTCAATTTCCTCTTCCTGTTTCCTTTTATAGCTCCTAATCTCTTCCTCGCTGCTCTCGGTGAGTCAGAGGAAATGAGCGATTAGGTATTTTCCTCCTGGGGGCAAGAGAATCCAGCGTAGAGATGTGGCACGCTGACGGCTTATTTGCTCAGCTAATGCCCGGCCTGTGAGGAATGCAGCAGGGGAAAGGAACCCTTCCCACTTGTTTAGGGGCACAGTGGAAAATATGAGTCAAACTGCTTCGTAGATTAGGTGTTACGCTGCCTCGGGCCTGAGCGTAAAACCCCATAAAGCGAAAGCAATCAGATAGCATCTCAGCCAACCTGTCACCTGTGATTGGTGTTAATTAGAAGCTAGCTGCTCGGCTAGTTGCTTTTCAACTCCATTTCCTCGAGGCTATAATTCCTCTCCACCCTCCGATTTCTTACTAGTCTGCACCCATCCTGACTTGGGTTGTTTTGCAGTGTGTGTGTGTTCCCCAGTAACTGATATCTTGTTGTGATTTCTGCTCTGTGTGTGTGCATGGCTTGGTTTCTGTTCGCTGCTCTGATTCGTGCGTCTCACTAACGGCTCTTCTTCTTCTCTCCTTTTTTTGCCACGCTTCAGCCTAGTGACCTGCGCAAGCACCGCAGGAAGGTAAACTAGAGAAACGCTTCCCTAGGCTCTGTCCGTGTCTGTCTCCCCCAAACAATCCTCTACAATCTGTGTTTAAAACATTAGATTTGTCTTTATGAAAAGCTTTTGTGGCCATTGTTTTGTTTCTCTTCACCACGGTGGTTCACAGAGGAGATTTCATTTATGTTTTCTCATATCGGTTTTGTTATTCTGGAGCCAAAAAGGACGGTTAATTATTGGTTGATAATTAGATTGAAAGCACTTTGATTACAGATTGATTGGTTTAAAACAAATGTAAGCAACAATAATACACATGTTCCACATCTCAAAGGTTTTTCTTGGTCTGTAGTCAAATTAAAACTTTAGTTCTGCAAACAAGCAATTGTAATGTTAAAATGTATTTGAAGCTATTTTGATAACTTATTAATTGTTTCAAAAGTAATTTTCTGCATGTCAAAAAAAGGTTTTATGGAATTCCTTTTTACGGGTGCTTTGAACCTTATTGTTTCTCACATTGATAAATAAATAATAACAAGAGGAACTATGATTATTATTAGTTATGTAATTGTATTGATTTTCTGAAGACTTAATGATAATATGTTTTACTATCCTATTGATATTTGTTTCCAAGTACAAAAAGACACTTAAAAGCAGAGCAAAGATAAAACCAGAAATACATATATTTTCTAAACGATGAAATTAAATGTATTAGAGATAAAAACACCAACAACAACAAACTGTGTTGACCGATTACAGACTGAGTGTAGCTGCTTGATGAATCACTCAAATGAATTTCTTTCTTTCTTGTGTTTATTTACTGCCCTACTATCTGTACGGAGTAAATCAAGTAATCTCTCTCTTTAACTCATCTCCCCCTCTCAGTCTGCTCAGGACGATAAGGCCACGATCCGCTGTGAGACGTCCCCCCCCACCACGCCTCGCTCCATGCGCCTCAACAGAGACGCCGGACACGCCTCCAGCCACGAGGACATCAGAGGGTGAGACCTACTTTTGACAAATTGGCATTATTCTGACCAATCTTCCTTTTTAAATAATCAAAAGTCAACTTTATTGTTAATCTTTCAGTTTGTGTGTACAGACAGAGAGATCGAAATATCGTTTCCAAAATATCCCATGCAAATATATATATATACAAATATGTATATCCTATATATACACAATCAACAGACACATTTATACATATGCACACATTAGGTCGCATTCACACCTGCCTTGTATAGTCCGGTTGAATCGAACCCCGGTGCGTTTAGCCGCTTGGTGAGGTTCGTTTGGGTCGGTGTGAACGCAGTCCGAGACCTCAGAAGTGAACTCAACAACCGGACTCTGGGCCGCTAAAATAGGGTCTCGGAACGCTTGCTAGTGAACTCTGGAGCGACCAAAACATAGGAAATCTTTTTTGAAGACATCCGCGTTCTTGTGGTTGTTTGGTTAAAGAGTGAAGCAGAATGAAGTGTTGTAACAGTAAAAATGCTCCGTCAACTATACATAAAAGTCAGAGCCACCTGTCGTCGGTGAAACGCCCTCCTGACTGCAGAACGTCTCATTATGTGTTATAATGTTTTTTAACGGACGTTGTCTGATTATATAATCATATGCGCGTGCCGCTAGTGTCTGTTGATCTCCAGATTAACAGCAGCATGAGAATAACGTGCCGATGCTCCATGGCGGAGGCTCCGGTAGAAATTGTCGGGATTTGCGTTTGTACCCCCTTAATGTCTGACCAATGGTTGAACAGCATTTCCGTGCACATGACTTGTGTTTAAAGTTTGCAGTCCGTTTGAGTTTTGCCGTGTGAACGCAAACCGAACCTTCTGAAGAATGAAAACGATGTAACAAACTGTCGTCTGGTGCGCTCCAGAGAGCGGACTATTAGGTGTGAATGCGACCTTAGACATAAATAAAAGCTTTAGTTTCCTTTTTGTCCACCTTCTGTGTTGGATTATTTTTGACTGATATTGCAACTGCAGTATGATTTACAATATTGGGGGGATGATCATTAAAAAAGATTATCACATTATCATTGAAAATATATATCAAATTGATCAGGGTGGATTTCTTTTAAGTATCTGTAGCAAACAGAGATTTGTTATTATGTCTGGTGATTTCTGGCTCGACTCAAATATTTTTCTTACTGAGATTTAGATATTTAGCCCATATTGTTTTTCCATAAAATATCAAGCCCCAAAGTCTTTCTTATCCAACAATATTGCGTGTTGTTATTGTCAGTGTTTCATGACGTTGTTGCTGTCCCTTCTTCATAGTCATTGAAAAATGTGAAAATAACATTTTTAGTCTCACTTTACGTAAACCCAATTAACCCTTACCTCTTCAATCTGTGTCCCTGTCTACTATGATTGTTCTCCAGGGGGTCCGCGGGGTCTTAAAAAGTATTAAAAGTAGATCAATCAATTTAGCGAAAATTAAGGCTATTAAACAGCATTTTCCAAGGTTTTACATTTTGTAGCTTGTTTTCAATAAGTATATAAATGGTCCAAAGAGGTTGTGTTCTACAGTCTGCCTGAATGTAATCATTGTGTAGGTGTGCAGTGTGATTCTGTGTCGTTTATTGATGGCATCCCGTTGGATTTGACGTCATCTGAACAGGACATCGCACGCTCCCTGCTTGATAGCACGAAGGTCCGTTTACGCCGGTTGTTGAACAACATCGTTATGGGGAAATGCAAGTTAGCGTCCAAATGGTTGGAAGATAAGGAGGAAGGACAATCAATACTGTGTATAGTCAATGTGAGGTAAAGTGTGTCACCAAGGTAACCGGTTAGAACTCCAAGTGGCGATGAGGTCTTAGAATGTATGGAAAGGGTCTTAAAAAAGGTCTTAAAAGGTTTTACATGTGACTTCAGGATTCCTGCAGATACCCTGTTCTCTGAGTCTTCTCTCCCTCTTCCTCCCCCCAGTCTCTCCGGGCTGCAGGACGGTCAGGGCAGCAACCCGAGCAGCAGCAACAGCAGCCAGGACTCTCTGAACAAAGCGGCCAAGAAGAAAAGCATCAAGTCCTCCATCGGACGCCTCTTTGGGAAGAAGGAGAAGGGCCGACCCAGCATCCCCGGCAAGGACTCCCCCAACCAAGGTCAGACCCCGAACACAGGGCTTTTATTTTCCAATACAGCATGGGTTCACAACTGTTCTCCAAGTAAAGGCCCCTTTACAAGATACAGAAAGATAGAAGGATTAGAAAGATGTTAGAAGAATGCCTATAGGTCATTGCTCCTGACATCAATTAACGGTTACCAATGTAACACTACATCTATATTAAAGGCAAATCATAGGAAAAGGGTGAATTAATTTCAAACCACACCAAATCAAATGTTTCAATCTTGCATATGTAGGTTAAATAAAATTGGGATTCTGATTAATTTAAATAATATAGAATAAGTCACTGATGATTATGTGTTTTTAAAATGTTCAATACAAAAAATAAAAATGAAATGTTTTAATTAAAATGTGATCTATAAACTATTTAAAGTTAACTAAATAAAAAATATTTGAAAGCAGTTTGTAAAGAAATTGTAATCAATAAATGAAATCAATTCGTAATGAGTCAGAGGCCTGGTTGAATGCCACAGACCACACAAATGTTCTTTAGCTCTTCATGCTCACAGCACCTCTGTGTCCCTCTTATATCTCTGGACATTGTGTTTGTGTTTGCAGCGGGCACTCCTGAGGCGGAGGGCTCTCCTAAAGACGGTTTAGGGATGGGCACCCTGGGGGGTCCTGCAGAGAAGAACAGGAAGCTGCAGAAGAAGTGAGTTTCCTCTTTTGAACACTGTGAAATAATTGTTCTGTGGTCAACCTTCTACATAATGTAAAATAACGCAAAATGTTTTTTCTCCAGCTGTGAGCGTGCCTAGCTCTCATATGTGTGTGTCGCTCTGATGACAATGTGTTTCAGTAATAGGAGAAATTAAGAAAAATGCAGTTTGTATACTTTTGTTTCCTCACTGTCTTTCAGATGTGCTTTAGAGAGTGATTTAAGTGCCTGTAAAGCTTTTTATTTCTGTTAATATGAAAGGAAAACATATTGACTATAATGTAGTCTGAAGTCTTAAAAGTAAATACAGCAGCTACTTGAAATAGAAAAGGGTTCCTGTTTAATTTTTATTTAATAATTACAATTTGAAGACACATATCTGTTGTGGAAATGTTATAACGTGTCCTGGAAACAGGACGCTTATAGAGTGGTGCATGGATGACGGAGTTTTGTATGCCGACCCTGAAGGCATCATCTCCTGGTTCATGGGATTTCTCCATGTTATTTTAAATTATTGCAGAAAATAATCTATAAACGTTTATGACGCTCGTTCAGCAGGAGGATCTCCATATATGAACACCACTTTATGATCTTTTTAAGTAGCTATAAAGTAGGGATGCCAGCGATTATTCGATTTTTCGAATATTCGTTACAGTCTCCATAATCGAAAATTATATTTTAAAATTCGATTTTATTTATATATATTTTTTTATTATTATTCATGTTTTTCTTTTTTTTCCTGGCTTAGTTTCAACCAAAATATAAACTAATGCTAATAATAGTAATAGTATTAATAATTGTAAAAGGCCATTGGCCACACCACCAGTTTCTTTTGCTGAAAGAAACTGGTCTCCGTCACACGTGCGATTGATTTATTGGCGATATACAGAACAGTGAGAACAACACAACTAAAGATGAACAAAGCGGTACGTTCAAAGAAGAGTTCCTCGTGGATCTACTTCGAACTGACAAGTGTAAATGAAAATAAAAATTGTTGCTACAAATAAAAAAAAATCACACCCGGCGGCGGCCGGTGGCGAATAATCGATTAATATTCGCCAGGGCTGTCCGATTTTCGAATTTGATCATGGTCAGTTTCTGGCATCCCTACTATAAAGGAACTGCCGCACGGTCACATGACTTCATATCACCACCGCTAAGCTAAAGGCGGCTAATGTTGGGCTATAAAGGAACTACAGCACGGTCACATGACTTCACGTCACCACCGCTAAGCTAAAGGTGGCTAATGTTGGGCTATAAAGGAACTACAGCACGGTCACATGACTTCATATCACCACCGCTAAGCTAAAGGCGGCTAATGTTGGGCTATAAAGGAACTACAGCACGGTCACATGACTTCACGTCACCACCGCTAAGCTAAAGGTGGCTAATGTTGGGCTATAAAGGAACTACAGCAGGGTCACATGACTTCACGTCACCACCGCTAAACTAAAGTCGGCTAATGTTGGGCTATAAAGGAACTACAGCACGGTCACATGACTTCACGTCACCACCGCTAAGCTAAAGGTGGCTAATGTTGGGCTATAAAGGAACTACAGCACGGTCACAGGACTTCACGTCACCACCGCTAAGCTAAAGGTGGCTAATGTTGGGCTATAAAGGAACTACAGTACGGTCACATGACTTCACGTCACTACCGCTAAGCTAAAGGCGGCTAATGTTGGGCTATAAAGGAACTACTGCACGGTCACATGACTTCACGTCACCACCGCTAAGCTAAAGGCGGCTAATGTTGGGCTATAAAGGAACTACAGCACGGTCACATGACTTCACGTCACCACCGCTAAGCTAAAGGTGGCTAATGTTGGGCTATAAAGGAACTACAGTACGGTCACATGACTTCACGTCACCACCGCTAAGCTAAAGGCGGCTAATTTTGGGCTATAAAGGAACTACAGCACGGTCACATGACTTCACGTCACCACCGCTAAGCTAAAGGCGGCCAATGTTGGGCTATAAAGGAACTACAGCACGGTCACATGACTTCACGTCACCACCGCTAAGCTAAAGGCGGCTAATGTTGGGCTATAAAGGAACTACAGCACGGTCACATGACTTCACGTCACCACCGCTAAGCTAAAAGCGGCTAATGTTGGGCTATAAAGGAACTACAGCACGGTCACATGACTTCACGTCACCACCGCTAAGCTAAAGGCAGCTAATGTTGGGCTATAAAGGAACTACAGTACGGTCACATGACTTCACGTCACCACCGCTAAGCTAAAGGCGGCTAATGTTGGGCTATAAAGGAACTACAGCCCGGTCACATGACTTCACGTCACCACCGCTAAGCTAAAGGCGGCTAATGTTGGGCTATAAAGGAACTACAGCACGGTCCCATGACTTCACGTCACCACCGCTAAGCTAAAGGCGGCTAATGTTGGGCTATAAAGGAACTACAGCACGGTCACATGACTTCACGTCACCACCGCTAAGCTAAAGGCGGCTAATGTTGGGCTATAAAGGAACTACAGCACGGTCACATGACTTCACGTCACCACTGCTAAGCTAAAGGCGGCTAATGTTGGCCGTGATGACGTTTATTCGTATTTACGGACGTATTTGATGTCGTAGAATACAAATCTCTTCAGCTTGTAGGGAAACGGTAGACTCATTCCCAGGCTGTAGGACTCCTTCCTGCACCTTAGCCAGTGTTAATCTATCACTCCCTGCCACCTGGCTCACGCTCACTTCTTTCCATCGCTCACCCAATCACGTTTTTATTTCCTCCACTTTCACGTTTTTTAATTTTGTGCAAATATACTACAAATGTAATTTTATTTTTTTGCTTCCATGTTCATTCTGTCTCTTTATTGTTTTGTCATCGTCCCTCTGCTTCTTTTTTTATCACCCCCCTTCTCATTCCATGTGTAGTCCAAAGACAGGGTAAGTCGGTTCACGTTGCTTCTTCTGCTGCTTTGCTTTTATCTTCTTTCCACCCCCGGCTTCACGTTGACCCTCACCAGTAACTCTCTGACGGACCCCTGACTTCTGTCCCCTCCGAATGTTTGATGGCTTGTCCATGCTGCTCGTTACCCTGCTTTCCACAGAGGAGCTTAACTAACAGGAATGTGTGTGTGCTGAGTTTTAGTGAGTGGCACATTTTCCTCTCGCAGTTTTCCCTTCTGGAGCATGATGCACTGAAACTACCGGAGAGATAACGGAAATAATGTTTTTTCTGAGGTTTTTCGTCCATTGGTCTGTCAAAAAAGTCCTCAAATTGAAGCTAATTGCTAGTTGAGAACATGCTAACTGTGGGCTTGTTTTTATCAGTGATATGCAGCAAACAGCACCATCTAGTGGCTATCATTGAATAGCTTCTGTTAGGGCTTGTTTTTATCAGTGATATGAAGCAAACAGCCCCATCTAGTGGCCATCATTGAATAGCTTCTGTTAGGGCTTGTTTTTATCAGTGATATGCAGCAAACAGCCCCATCTAGTGGCCATCATTGAATAGCTTCTGTTAGGGCTTGTTTTTATCAGTGACATGAAGCAAACAGCCCCATCTACTGGCCATCATTGAATAGCTTCTGGGCTTGTTTCTATCAGTGATATGCAGCAAACAGCACCATCTAGTGGCCATCATTGAATAGCTTCTGTTAGGGCTTGTTTTCTATCAGTGATATGAAGCAAACAGCCCCATCTAGTGGCCATCATTGAATAGCTTCTGTTAGGGCTTGTTTTTATCAGTGATATGCAGCAAACAGCCCCATCTAGTGGCCATCATTGAATAGCTTCTGTTAGGGCTTGTTTTTATCAGTGACATGAAGCAAACAGCCCCATCTACTGGCCATCATTGAATAGCTTCTGGGCTTGTTTCCATGCCTGTGAATTAAAATAACTTCCTCCAGATATCGTCTGCTAAATGGCATTGTGTTTTGAATACAGACAGAGAATGTGCATGTCATGGATGTACAGAATTAAAGATACCTTTCCTGCCCTTAATACTTCCCTTTACGCATGTTACACTTGTAGATGAATGCATCCACACTGAAGACAGCTTTCTAAGTGGACTCTCTAAGTGCTGGTTCTGGGAGAAAACGCTTCTGACTAATAATTTTTCAAACCTGAAGCCAGTCATCTCCGAGAAGCTTAACGAAAAAACATCTGGTTAATCCTGGATAGGACGAGGAGTTTTGTTAGTAGTTTGGTAATATATTGGGACAGTAACATTAAACCTTTTAATGAATGCCATTTCCAGATGTGTCTATTTTGAGTCTTCCTGGGTTTCTCCTGTTTTCTCTCAAACTCCTGCTCTCTGTTGAGTCTGCATGTCTCTGGGTCAGTGTGCATATCTGCTCCAAACGTGGACTTGATAGTGTGCATATTGGGACTTTCTGATGGATTTTGGTGTGTTTTTATGTATGTTTTGGGGTTTTAGGGCAAGTATTTTTGGGTATTGTTTTTAATATCAATTCTGTGTCTCAGGCATGAGCTGCTGGAGGAAGCTCGTATGCAGGGCCTGCCTTTCGCTCAGTGGGACGGACCGACTGTGGTGGTGTGGCTGGAGGTACGACACACACACATTTTAAGCTACTTTTGTACTCTTGATTCCTGTATTCAATACTTGTACTTCATATAAACCAGATTTAAAGATCATACACTTATAGCCAGATACTGGTTGCCAGATAGAGTACATTCCTGGTCTGGTGGTATGATGGTAAAATCTGTTATCAAGTTGAAAGATAATATCTTGCATTATGTTATATGTTATCCTAATATGTAAGGGTTGACTAAAACCATAACAAGTGGGTCATGTTGTTAAAACTTGTAACATGTTTGAAAATAGTTAAAATATCAGTATATGAGGTTATTCAAATCAGCTGTGATGAACACATTAATGGACCAGGACACTTACCTGTATGTGTACACCTTGGTATTGATATTTCTACTCTTTAGTTTAGTTTATTATTATTTTTCGAGCGTGTAAAACCAAAGAAAATACAAATGAACAGTCATGATACAGTACTATACAAATGAATGCAATAACAAAACGAAATATTTAATTAATAATTGAATAATCTGTAGTATCATTGTCTGATATCAATAAACAACTCTTTCATTTCTACTTATGTGCAATGCCTTGTTTTGTTTTTTATGCTGCTGTAACGCAAACATTTCCCAACTTGGCATCAATAAAGTACCTCTTATCTTATCTTAAGTAAATGTCTCTGTTGGGGAAATATTTTCCTAGGCCCATAACTTTGACCCAGTTCAGTGTTTGCCATCAAAGTTCCTGCTCTCCCCGTGTCTCTCTGAGTCTCCATTGCTTCAGAAGCTTCCATCACACTCTTGCCCATGTTATTAATGTCTCTCTCCTCTCAGCTGTGGGTGGGCATGCCGGCCTGGTACGTGGCGGCGTGTCGAGCGAACGTGAAGAGCGGCGCCATCATGTCGGCGCTGTCGGACACGGAGATCCAGAGAGAGATCGGGATCAGCAACCCGCTGCATCGCCTGAAGCTGCGCCTCGCCATCCAGGAGATCATGTCCCTCACCAGCCCCTCCGCCCCCCCCACCTCCAGAACGGTACTTTACTGACTAGTTCATGCGTGGAGAAAAAAGACACACACTTTATTACTAATAATACTTTGCCTGATCACAGTCTTTATGAAGCCTCTCTGATTGAGCATGCTGCTTTTATTGCATTAACATTTTAACTACTTATGCACTAATGATGAGACTAGTTCACAGAGCTGCAAAAAAGTATGGATTTATCGAGACGTTGTCAACTTTTAAATGTAATCAAAGCCTATTTTGGTAATAGATTAATCCAATTGGGATTTTTTTTAATTGTATTTTTATCAGATCGTAGAAATTCTCAGGTTAAACTTTTTTTAATGTGAATATTTAATTGTTGTATTTAATATTTAAGTCCTGTGAACAGGGTTCCCATAGATATTAAAATAAGGCCTTCAATTATAATTATTACTATACTATAATATTTATGTCAAAAGTATATATATCATATGTTAAGCGCCAAGACATGGGATTTTATTTATCCCTATTTTCTTCTGACGTCACAAAAAAACCCAAATAATGATTGGTAATCTTTTTCTGCAATTACGTCATAGATTTATATCCATATAGCAAAACAATTAAGCGCACAATTAGTCTTTAACTTCATTCTTGTGACACTAAACAAGTCTTAAACAAATGTTGGATCCGACTTGACGTAACAATGTTTATGTCTTTTGCACAAACGTCACACCGACCCAGATATTAGTAAAACATTTCTGTAAAAAAAGTATAAAGTAGATAGTAAATCTACCTTGCCTTTAGGTGTAGTAACTGTGTCAGTAAACTAAATATCTTTGTTTGAGGCAAAAATCTGAAACATTTGACTAACACAGACCAAAGAAATAACAGCGACCTGCAGCTCTGCTGGTCTTGATTCGCTAACAGTGATAACCATGAATGAAAAACTCTTCTCTCTCCACTCCACTCTCTCTCTGTCCTCCTTCATCACTCTTCCCTCTTCACACACTTCTCTCACTTGTGATTGGGGGGTGTCACATGATCAGACAACAGGAAACGTTTGGGTCACTCATGAAGAAATGGAAAGTTTGGCAGCCACGCCTCCCACGGTTAGTCTACCCTGATTGGCTGGACGCTTCTGTGGTGAACGCCTCGTTTCCAAGCTGCTTTCAGGACAGCCAGACGTTTGTCTCTGTACGCAAAATACAGATTGTACCGGTCGCTTTGCTGCATTTCTCTAATTAGACTACACATGTGTGCAACAGTACACATTTCTTCACAATAGATTACCTGCAAACGTTTAAAACTAGCTTAAGATCCTTAATTTGTCTATAAATGGTAGATACATTATGCCAATGAACAGCTTAGATACAGAAAAGTTATATCGATTATATATTATAAGATTCTGATTTTTTTTTGCATTTTTTTTTTATATATAAAATGAGGAACCTCGCCAAACTAATTTTCACGTAATTAATCATTTAGAATATTTGTACAATTATTTATTTTGCTAAAATGTTCCTACTGCATTTTGTATATTGCACTAGTCCATATTGCAATTTATCGAGATGCACTTGTTCTGTATGGCTATATCTACATTTTAACATTACACAGTTTAACTTTAACCTAATTGGGAAACTAATAACAATGTTGGGCAGGATTTATTTTACTTAACGGATTTTAATGTCATTATGGTTCAACGTTTTTGAATGTAATGAATCATGGAGTGAACTAATACCTGTGTGTTTTGTTTTGGGGGTTAGACCTGATTTGAGAAATGTACCAAAGCGACTTCAGTTTAATAATGTTCTGGCTTAATGGAGTCTCAGCAACTTGAAACACGGCCTTTTCTTTCTGCTAGTTTGTAATTATTCTTTCCTCCGTGTAGTTTCCTGTCTCTCCCTGTAGACCCTCACTCTGTGTTCTGTGCTGAGTGTTAGTGTGTGGTAGAGCTGCTTAGTTTAGATTAGTCTGCATAACTGAGCCAGCCACTACAAGGTAGATGAAATAACAAAATAACAAGAGGGAAAATGCATGAAGGAACCCCCCCCCCCCCCCCCCCCCTCACTGTCCCCCTTTACTTTAACTCTTCTGGTACAGTGTCATGTGATAGGATTGGGCGATATGAATGAATATATAAAAACAGAGAGACGATATCACTTTGTCTGCTGGATAAGATTTTCCCTAGGGCTGTATCCGAAGATTCGTTCGTTGGAGTACTATTCGGGTTTCAATTTCGTTATTCGTTTTTTTTCCCGTTTTTTTTTCAAATTGAATTTATTGAAATCTCCAATATCAACGTAAGAGCTTGTTCGGGGGTGCTAACACTTAACCATAAACGTTATCGTATACTTTCTCCATCTTTATATGTAGATATTCTTTCACACACACATACGGGTTTTGGGCCGAGGGCGACACCGTACTTCCGGTATCAACCATTTCACGCGAGGTGCATACTGAATATCATAGTCGATTGCCTTAATCAATATAGTCAACTCTAAAATACCACATATATGCATTGGCATGATAATATTATTGTGACAAGTGGGGTATTCACCTGGTGTTTCCAGAAGATAGACGTAGATGCCAAAATCGACCGAAGGCCACTTTTGAGGGTCGTAATTCCATACATTGTACATCCAACAACCCACACAGCTCTAGTTTACGCTGGTAACGACCTAGAGCACACCCCTCAAGTCCAGAGATGTAATCCGAAGACATGCAGCGATTTCTTCGGTCGTTAATTCAGAAAAGAAACCTAGTGCGCTCTGCCTGGCTACGTAAGCTAGCTGTTTATATTAGCATTGCCAGGATTTTTGCACCTCCAGAAAAATGGCGTCTTTATAAAAAAATATATGGCGCGCGTTGCATTGTGGGTAGCTGTGACGTCACTGTGTGTGAAAGAATCACTTTTCTCCGTTAATCTCCGTCACGTTGTTTCCAAAGCAATAACAACTTCCTGTCAACAGCGCTACCTCTCCTTCAAAATAAAAGCATGTCCATAAATAGGAAGCCAAGCCAAATTACACTGTAGAATAACAAAATGAATGCCGTGAATACACCAACATACACGTGTTGAAGCGGTTCGCTGCTGATTACTACGCCCCCCCCCCCCCCCCCCTCCCCCACCAAACTTGGGCAAATCAACATACATTTGGACACATTTTCTAGAAAATAATATTATATTTCTACTGCAATATTGGATTAATTTAAGATTAGTTTTTTTAAGCCATAGATGAAAATAAGATGTTTGCGTGATTTGCCATTTTTTCAGTTTATTCTTTTTTTTAAATGTTAGTAAAGTGTCTTAATAGATTTTCAGAAAATGTAGTATATTTAGGAGGTATTTTAATATGTAAACATAAGAAATAAAAAAAAAAAAACACTCTTGGGCTTTGGGGGATTATTTTTTTTGTTAAATAAATGAATCAATTAATTGAAAAAACAATATATTGACAATGAAAATTAATATATTACATTAAATTTAGCTGACGCTTTTATCCAAAGCGACTTACAATAAGTACATTCGACCAACAAGATACAAACTTGAAGAAAACAGAATCATAAAGTACATCAGGTTTCATAGAGCCAAAACATTTCAAGTGCTACTCAACTGGCTTTAGGTAAGCCAGTCCTTTATTAGTATATAAGTGCTTTGTTAGTAATTCTATCGCTCGAAGTGGAGTCGAAAGAGATGAGTTTTCAGTCTGCGCCGGAAGGTGTGTAAGCTATCTGCTGTCCTGATGTCAATGGGGAGCTCATTCCACCATCTTGGAGCCAGGACAGCAAACCCACGTGTTTGTGCTGATGGGAACTTGGGTCCCCCTCGCAGCGAGGGTGCAGCGAGTCGTTTGGCTGATGCAGAGCGGAGTGCACGCGCTGGGGTGTACGGTTTAACCATGTCCTGGATGTAGGAAGGTTCAGATCCTTCCTACATTTTTATAGGATGCATTGCTCCATAATAATGCCTTTTTTATAGGATTTTTGATTTGTGAATGATCTCATTTGCTTAATTTCCCAATTTTAGCTTTAACAATGTTTTCTAAATAAATAAAGTTTCTCAATAAATCTTTTGTAATATTATTTAGGACAAAAAAAGACATTTGAAGAACGCCAGTTTGGACTATGGAAATAACTTTATAGACCAAATAACTAATCAATTAATAGAAATAATTGTTGACAGTTTGATCTTGATTTGATTATTTTGCTAACACTGATAAATATGGGAAAAAAAAGTGGATTTTCTTCACATCGCCCTCTCCTACAATTTTCTTATTGGTTTTTTTGCCTTTCTTTTTCCTGTTTGAATGCTTAACCTGAATTTCTGCGTCTTGTTTTATTATATTTTGAGTGGTTCTCCCACATGCAGTGTGTCAGCCTGCCGCCTCACTAACTCTCTGTTCTCTCACCACGCTCACTCTAACCCGCTAACACCAGGACGATGACGAGGGCAGCTGGGCCCAGGTTTGCACACCTTCCCCCAAAAACCCCTGTTCTACTCACCATCTTTTAGTCAGTGTTTGTTTTCTTTAAGTGTCTGATAGAGGAGACGTCACATTATCCTCCTGTGTATTTCCAGATGTTTCACATCAAGCATGTTTGAGTGGTCCTTTTTAAAAGCCCTTAAGTTTGGTTTACAGCAGAGCCATTTGAACTTTATATACGATGTACTGCTGTGGTTGTGTGTGTTATAAGTTAGAATACAGTCCAAACACCTGCAGAATATGGCTTTTTATGCTTTAAGGAAACACAACTGAAGGAAGTTCAATACAGGAAAGAATAGTGAATAATGCATTGATACACAAAGCCTTGTTTTGGTGGTAAAATCTCGACTGTGAAATAAAATAACGAACCCTCACTGTCCAAAGAAGTCCTGATTCAGATCAAGAGTAAACCAAATCTATCCCTGAGTTGGGCAGGAATTAGTCTAGGAAATAAGGTCTGTGGTTAACGAACATTTACGAAATGTTCGCGAAGTCTTCTACAACATAGAATAAAATAATCTGCTTTCCTCTGTTAAAACCTAAGAGAGCATCAGAAGAGTTAGCCACAACCACACAGATGCATTACAATCTAACAGTAATACTGATTGCTTTAATCCATACATTAAGCTTAAACAGCATTTGTAAACAATGACCATTACTATTACCATTTGTATTAGTTACTGTTTCTTATATGATTCAAAGGCTGTATGTGCCTTAATATCTACAACTTAGTCTTGTCATTTAAAATCTGAAGTAAACAACACTTTCCAAACGTTGAAACACACTCCCAGAACAGAACGTTAACCCGTGTGTGTTGTTCCTTTAGACGCTGGCGTACGGAGACATGAACCACGAGTGGATCGGGAACGAGTGGCTGCCGACCCTCGGTCTGCCTCAGTACCGCTCGTACTTCATGGAGTCTCTGGTGGACGCCCGCATGCTGGACCACCTCACCAAGAAGGACCTGAGGGGGCAGCTCAAGATGGTGGACAGCTTCCACAGGTAACACATCAGAATCAGAATACCTTTATTCGCCCCACATTTGTTACAGCAGAAAAGAGTCAAAGACAGCTTGATGTTAACTAAGAAGCATAAAGAAACATCCTGTAACAGTTCTAAAGATTTAGCAGCCAGGTATATACTGCACAGTTATTAACGGCATATGTACATATATATTGCACAACATTAGTATTCCACAGGGGTGTTATAATGACTGTTAAAGCATGATACCATTAACATCAAACGAATGAAATGAAATGTGTCCTTGGGCAAGACACTTCACCTGAACTTGCTCCTGTGGGTATTGTCCACAGTAAACAACCATTACAAAATAAATCTATTATTATTATTTATTACATGGCTTAGTTGAATACTCGATTCTGATTGGTCAATTCAGAACACGTGACACGTTGTTAATACCGAACAGACAGACCGCTGTCAAGGACTTATTGACCGTTGTTAAGGACGCTCACATCTTCAGAAAGAAGTCCGGTCGATTGAACTGTATACCGTTGGGCCGAACTGGGACATGAAAAACAGCGCAGAAGTAACGGGGCAGAAACCCTCCTTTTTACGCAGCGGTCCAGACATAGACATCAAACGGCGACACATTTTTAGTTGCCAGTTCCTTTGGCATTAGGGCAGGGATATCTAGATACTTCCCAAGGTCTGACATCATGAATTGTGCTACTTTTAAAGCAACCAACGATGTTTTCAAATCTGTAATCAAAAAGCTCCTCAAAAACGCAAGCAGTTCCTACCGTTGGCTTTTCAAACTGACAAGAGACGCTCCAACTGTTTTTCAAATGTAACAGTTTGAAAAGCAAACTGTCTGATTGTCTTTAGTTTTCCGCTGTCGTGTGATAGCAACATGGAGGATTTTAACATTCATTTTAATATATTTGGAGAGCACAGTAATTTGGAGGAATGGTTAGTGGCTGATGAGTCCCCAGTGAAGAAAATAAAAAGACAAGAGGGACAAGAAAACAGCGGAGAAGTAATGGGGCAGAAACCCTCCTTTTTACATTACATTACATTACATTGCATTTAGCTGACGCTTTTATCCAAAGCGACTTACAATAAGTACATTCGACCAGGAAGACACAACCTTGAAGAAAACAGAATCATATAAGTACATCAGGTTTCATAGAGTCAAACATTTCAAGTGCTACTGAACTGGCTTTATGTAAGCCAGTCCTTTATTAGTATATAAGTGCTTTGTTAATAGTTCTAACGCTCGAAGTGGAGTCGAAAGAGATGAGTTTTCAGTTTGCGCCGGAAGGTGTGTAAGCTATCTGCCGTCCTGATGTCAATGGGGAGCTCGTTCCACCATCTTGGAGCCAGGACAGCAAACCCACGTGTTTTTGCTGATGGGAACTTGGGTCCCCCTCGCAGCGAGGGTGCAGCGAGTCGTTTGGCTGATGCAGAGCGTAGTGCACGCGCTGGGGTGTACGGTTTAACCATGTCCTGGATGTACGAAGGGCCAGATCCATTCGCAGTACGGTAAGCAAGTACCAGTGTCTTGAAGTGGATTCTAGCAGTTACCGGAAGCCAGTGGAAGGGAGCGGAGGAGCGGAGTGGGGGGGAAAATGTAGGAAGGTTGAAAGACCAGACGAGCCGCTGCATTCTGGATGAGCTGCAGAGGTCGGATGGCACATGCAGGTAGACCAGCCAGGAGGGAGTTGCAGTAGTCTAGGCGTGAGATGACGAGAGCCTGGACCAGAACCTGAGTCGCTTTCTGAGTCAGCTGGGGACGTATCTTCCTGATGTTGTAAAGGGTGTATCTGCAGCAGCGGGTTGTAGCAGCTATGTTTGCAGTGAAGGACAGGTTGTTATCTAGGGTCACACCCAGATTCCTTGCAGTCTGAGTCGGGGAAACAACTGAGGTGCCGATGTTGATTGTTAGGTCAAGAGTGGGACCATCTATTCCCGGGAGGAAGAGCAGCTCAGTCTTGTCAAGGTTGAGCTTGAGGTGATGAGCAGACATCCACTGAGAGATGTCAGCTAGACAAGCAGAGATGCGTGCGACGACCTGGGTCTCTGAGCGGGGAAAGGACAGAATTAATTGGGTGTCGTCAGCGTAGCAGTGGTATGAAAAACCATGCGGGCTAATGACTGATCCGAGCGAGTTTGTGTACAGGGAGAAGAGGAGGGGACCGAGAACAGAGCCCTGAGGGACCCCTGTAGTTAATTGACAAGGGTCGGACTCAGACCCTCTCCAAGTCACCCTGTAGGTACGGTCTTTCAGGTATGAGGTGAGGAGGGAAAGAGCAGAGCCTGAAACTCCATGTTTTTGGAGAGTGCGAAGGAGGATCTGATGATTCACCGTGTCGAATGCAGCAGACAGGTCCAATAGGATGATGACAGAGGAGAGGGAGGCTGCTTTGGCAGTGTGCAGTTCCTCCGTGACAGCAATGAGAGCAGTTTCTGTGGAGTGACCTGCCTTGAAACCAGACTGGTGCGGATCCAGAAGGTTGTTCTGATGGAGATAACAGGAGAGTTGTTTAAAGACAGCGCGTTCAAGTGATTTTACGCAGCGGTCCAGACATAGACATCAAACAGCGACACATATTCATACTTTGGCATTAGGGCAGGGATATCTAGATACTTTCCAAGGTTTGACATCATGAATTGTGCTACTTTTAAAGCAAGCAGCGATGTTTTCAAATCTGTAATCAAAAAGCTCCTCAAAAAACGCTATCGAAGCAGTTCCTGCCGTTGCTACGTTAGTTCAAACAGTAACAACGGACTATTTTTCTTAGCGAATGCATGTCAATTTAAATCAATACATACAACTATTTTTTAAATCAATAAAATAATTTCAATTAATATTGGGAGTCATGTTGTTACTTTGTTGAGAATGTGGCCGTGTAATAAGCGGGTTCGCGTCGGGCTCCTGATCAGCCGGTCGGTGTTCTTTTCCCCATAATGACCGCGTCGCTGCACATTATCCCTTACGTATGATGTGTAATGTGTATTTGTAAAGCGCTTTGAGAGTCATTGATAAAGCGCTATAATAAATATAAGGATTATTATTATTATACCTTAAACACAATAAAGGTTGATATTGATACGGTGGCAATAAAGGAATTATTTGAACCTTTGTTTGTTGCATTAATATAAAAAATGTGAGATATAATGATGATAAAAGGAGCCTTTACTTTCAAGATTTCCTTTTGTATTCTGGTGCCTTGAAAGGGCTTTAGTTTAGTGAAAAGCTAGGTAGGTTTTCATGTGAAGAACTGTGTTTGTGTTTGTGTTACAGGAACAGTTTCCAGTGTGGGGTGATGTGTCTGAGGAGGCTGAACTACGACAGGAAGGAGCTGGAGAGGAGGAGGGAGCACTCTCAGATGGACCTGCAAGGTAACACACACACACACACACACACACACACACACACACACACACACACACACACACACACACACACACACACACACAGAAATGCCCACATTTAAATGATACTTAAAGACACTGGTTGCTATCAAATTTGTACAACTTATACCTTAACCTACCTATTATGCAAAATCCACTTCTTCATGTCTCTTCTACATCAACATGTGTCCCCTCTTCTTCATGTCTCTTCTACATCAACATGTGTCCCCTCTTCTTCATGTCTCTTCTACATCAACATTTGTCCCCCTCTTCTTCATGTCTCTTCTACATCAACATGTGTCCCCTCTTCTTCATGTCTCTTCTACATCAACATGTGTCCCCTCTTCTTCATGTCTCTTCTACATCAACATGTGTCCCCTCTTCTTCATGTCTCTTCTACATCAACATGTGGTCCCCTCTTCCTCATGTCTCTTCTACATCAACATGTGTCCCCCTCTTCTTCATGTCTCTTCTACATCAACATGTGTCCCCTCTTCTTCATGTCTCTTCTACATCAACATGTGTCCCCTCTTCTTCATGTCTCTTGTACATCAACATGTGTCCCCTCTTCTTCATGTCTCTTGTACATCAACATGTGTCCCCTCTTCTTCATGTCTCTCTAC